GGGTCCACAATGTTTTCGTAGTTGCTTGCTTGCTCTGTCGGATTGCCTTGAACTCCTTGTTGCAACCTTCGATCACAATGTCTACCCTTCGTCATCTTCTCGTCACTGTCTTCTTCAACGCTGCTATCATATTGTGGTCTCTGCACCAAACCTGGACCGATCCATCATCTTTATCGTCGCTATCGACGTGTTGTCAAACTCAATCTGGAACTGGCGCGATTGTGTTCTGCATCTCATCCTTTCTTCGATCAACTGAGAAAAATTTTCATGTAACTTTCTGCTTCTTGATGTTCCCGCCACTCCTGCCGGCAACCACAGGCAAAAACTCTCACTTGCTCTTACGGTTGTGGTTCTGTAGCTGCTTCATGCCTTCAACTGTAGGCCTTCTTTCCACACGCTCAATCACAAGCTTGGGCATCGGGAGGATTTCAACGTACTGGCGTGTCTGCACCTTCCAGGTGTGCAAGTCCAACAAATAATGGCCACCCTTGCTGTTGTCCAGGATTGGACGCAATGATGCATTCCAACCCAAGTGGCTCGGCTCTGTTCTTGCGAGCTGCAGGGACTCGTTGTGACCTGCAAACTGCCAACGTAACTTTGCATCATTGTAGCCTGTGGTCTTACCATTAAAATCTGCCTTGGAGGGTAAAACGGGAGATTCCCTCGGCTCCTGGGAATAGATTCAAAGTTTTTCATTGAAATCGTAGACAGATGCTCACACCATAATTTTCGGCATGACTTGAAATGGGACTGCGTGGAAACCTGGTCGGAAACGGTCTTCGATTGTCCTGTTGTTTCGCTCGGCGACGGAAGCGTGCACCTGTGCTGCCGGATGGTCGTGTTTCACACCCATATCGTTCTTGATCCGGTCCATCAACGGCTTGAACTCATTGTCACACTGGATGGTTTCGATGTAGAATTTATTCCCTTTGTACGTGTCCATAATCAGATCCAGGGCCTGATAATAAGAGTCCGTGGTCAATAGTCTTTCAATCGATCGATCTGCCTGTACCGAAACTTCAAGTCGATAAAGGATAGAAAGTTGAGACCACAAATGTTGACGACATCCATGGCATCTGGTAGCCCATTTCGGTGATTGGACACCAAAACTCTTCATGGCGGCCAATGTGACACTCTGGTAGCTGGTGGTGGACGTTTCCGGGTAGTGGAGCCTTTGATTTTGGCCATGTCCTTGCCAAAAATCAGCTGCGGCATTATTGATATCCCGAACATCAACGGGCAATCTGCGGATTCTGCCGCGGCTCTTTGGATTCATAATTCTTAAAGTCCTTTAAAAGCGGACGTTGGAAAAGATTGCGCATTAGGAGCTCTCTTGGCTTAGGAAAGCTCCCTTCACTTCCTTCTTGGTGAAGCCTTCCCTATAATTTTCCTTCTTGGCACGGTCCGGACGCAAATCCCTGATTAAGAAAGGCTGGTTGAAGTTCTGTTTCTCCTTGCGTGGGGAAGGATTTTTTCAATGATTTGCTTTCTCGAGAATGTCAATGTCGGTAGGGCGATACAAACCGAGTTTTGGGTTCCTCGGCCATATCTGACAATAGGAACCGTCTCCCCGGCGGTGGTACATGGCAATCATCATAGTTGCGGTGTCCATCTTGCCAAACTCTTGAGCCATCGTCGCTTTGCTCTGCAAACTGCATCCGGAGAGAATACCATAGGGCATTAATGTTAGCCACGCCTCCTGGGTTCTTGTATTGATACTCCCCAAGGGTCCTCCATCTCTCGGTCCATTCGAGCCTGTTGGTCCCACATTTTGTCTGCATGTCGAATACGGCGGATGTAGGGTCTGTGCTGCTGCGCGTTCATTCTTTACCCGGACGGCCATATTGGCCACTTGAATTGATCGAGCTGGCAATTATGGCCCGTTAACAGCTTGTTTTCAAATCCGTCCATCCAAATTGCTGCCAGTCCCACGTCGCCTGTGGCCAAAAGCGGCAGTCTGTTTGCGCTGCTGTAACCATGTGTGAGAACTTTGGGGCTAAAGGGCTGCGGCTTCAATTCCCGGGAAGCCGGGTGAACTTGGACATTCGGCTAACTTCGGGTGGTACTGCGGACTGAACTGGAACTCGTTGCTTGACTGGAGGGGAACGCCTGGAATTGTCGAGGGCCAGCGGCGGAAGCAGACGATGGGAACTGGCTGGAATTTGCTCGGGCGCTTGCCGGGCTTGGTGGTGCTTGGAAAGCTGTGGTCGGAATCGGATGCTGCTGGTGGAATTGGGGCCCTGAAACTTAGGTTGCCGGAAGCAGTGCACCTCCCTGTTGGACGACTTCCGAGCCATCGAGGGCTGCATCGGCTAAGAAACGTTTTGCTGTGGGAAGCTTAGGGCGTGCGGTAAACTCTCTGTGGAACCGGGAGCCGTCGAAGCCTTCAGCGGATAGCTGGATGGTACTGTTTGGAAGAACGTTTTTCTTTAACCCAGAACGCTTGGATACTTATTAATGGCCCGCACTCGGCTTGGGGATTCTTGTCACGACACTTTGGCAATCGCGCGGCAAACTTTGTGGGTTGGGATTGCCGCAGCAGTTAGGACGGCCTCGCGCTCGCTTGTCTTTTCTGCTGAAAGAAGGACAACGGCATTGACACCGTATAAACTCCTCTTTTTGGCCGGGTTTATCAATTCATCTTGGGCTGGCCAGAGCCCCTTGGTTAAGCGGCACGTCGGGCCTGCATCCACTCGCTTGCTGGGCTTGAATGCGATCGGAATTGAGGGTCTCACGGAGAGCTTTCAAGCTCCGTGGGAAAAATAATTAACTCATGCGCATCCATGGCAATAGGAGGCCTGCGCACGGTAGCCTGAATGTCGCCATTATTACCGAAATCACTGGATGAACCAGGTCCTGAAACCTCTGTAGCCAATGAGATCAATGATCTCAGTTGCGTCCAGTCCAATTCCCAGGTATTGCTTTTCAACCTTGTCCTTGGTCCCTCTTATCTTCTTCGTACTCGGGCCTGCTTTCAGAAAGGAAAACAATCGCATGTATCGCTGTGCGAACGATGTGCAAAGTAATCTGACAGCCGAGTCGGCCAGGCCCACTCTAACGGAGAAAGACATCAGTCGGTTCTCCTTCCTCTTGCTTGGGGGAAAGGGCACGCTGTAACTAGTCTGACGAACTGGACAACGAGGATGCTCCTCTGGTGGTGCCTGCGGCAGTCAGTCCTCGGATTCTTGGCTAGGACTTTAATGGGATCAGTTTGATCTGCTGCTTCGCAGTCATGGAAGATTCGTAGGCCTGCGCTCTTTGCATCTGTTGCGTACAATAAAAGCTGGTATGATTCTGGCTGCGCCCGCCATTCTGCAGTGGCAACCAATTCTTGATCATTTACTGCTTTCGCCAATAAGATTAACTTATTCCTTTGTATAGGAGTTAGCTTGAGCTCGTATAGTATCTTCTTGCCGTCAGCAATCCGTATGTATAGGATGGTTACCGTTGGCTCGCGTCGGCGTCTGGTCTTGCATAGTCTCAATGGCCAGTGACGCTTTGGGAACGTCTATCCACTCGACCTGGTCTGAAAGTAGCCACAATGTGGTCAATGTCTCTGTAAACGGATAAAATCTGAAGTCAGCCTGTCCTTTGGGATGGAAAGGTACTTGCGGCGGTTGTCTTTGTCCTTGCCTCTACCGCTCACCACTGGCACCGCCTCAACCGGCGCCTTGGCCTCTGCCGAGGAGCCTCTGCCTCCTCCTTGTTGCCACGGCCTCCTCGTTGTTGAATCGGTCATCCTGCTCTTGATATGGTCTATTTGCTTGAGGAATTACTGGCTGCGTGGGTTTGTACTGGATACGGTGTAGATATGGGCTGACTTGGTGGAGCTGGGGGTGGTTCCTCTTATTTCCTATTGATCAGGTAGCCTCTTGTGGGTCTATATTGTCACTCCTTGTGACTGCTCCTGCCTTAAACTTGGCTTGTTCCTATCTCGCGTCGGTCTGTCGTGGCTCTATGTTGGCTCACACGCAAATTCACACCGTTTGAGCTTGGAGGATGCTACCGATGACTCTATCGTGCGACTCGAAGCCTTCTTCTTGTTATAGATTACTTGTATTGGTGTTGTATAACTCAGTGATGAGTTTCATAGGCTGGAATGGCTCACCGCTGAAGATTCAGTGCGTCGAGTACTGTCGGGCTGTAGGAATCCCGTCGCTTCAGCACTGCTTGACTCGATTGGTCGTATCTCGCTCAATTTTCGGAGTTGAGAGCTTGTACTTGTCGTGGCATAGGCGGCAATAGGTCCTCTTTCGATCCCTGTATGCGGCCGTAGCTGTATCTCTCTTGGTTCGCTCGTCGTGTTCGTTCGCGTCGATCGGCTTTTGCTCGTAGAGTGGGTACCCAAAACACGCGATCGGCGATTACTCCTTCAATTCTTGTCGGATGACCTTGGTTCAAGCATCAATATGGACCGGCTAGCTGTGCTCTCGACGCTGATGTGCTTGGTTTGCTCTGAATCGGTCGACAAGTCGATCGGCCGATGCTCCGAGAGCTTGGAATGAGTGAGCGAAAATGTGAGGCGAATTTTCTCTGTTAGCTCTGTTGCTTTGCCTTTATAGTGGGGCTACAGAGCACCTCTGCTCAATACCTGAGCCCGCTGTTTCTCTCAGTTCTTTCTCACTATTACAATACCTATTTCCATGGATAAACTCAATACAAACGCTTTTTCTTCACAGTGTTGGGTCTAATAACACTGCAGCTACTAGTAATATCAAGGTTAATTTGTTGATTTGGGCGAGCTGTGAAGAAAAAGTGATCTTTCTGGCTGGTCGCTTTGAAGTCTGGATCTGAGAATGCCAGTTTCCTTAAATTCCTACGGTGGTGCGGTCTTTTTCTTATCCGGGTCCGCTAAATATCTAGACCGGCCAACAGCGGTCAGTACCATATCATCCAAATTCAATAAAGCAGGTTCAGTCATAACAATGCTTTGCTGTGGGGCCACAGGGAGATGCAATTGCAGCATTTTTTCTGTTACTGAAACCCCCTTCCCGATGACTTTATGGTTTGGCCGTGGGAAGTTTTGGAGAAGAGACCTCACGACAGAATGATTTCTGTATCTTGCCGATGGCATGTTTGATCTCTTATAAGAATGGTAGAAAAACTGGATCCCCTCCAAGTGAAGTCCTTGGGATTTTGCAGAGGGTACCGCAAAATTTCTTGTGAGCCTTCTGGTAACACTGGAGTCATTGAAGGTGCTAAACATGATGCACTTTTGGTCCAATGATGGCCATATGTTTGGCACACCTGGGAGTGCCACATCACTGCGCAGATGATAAGTATTTTGTCTCCATGCCTTGAATTGGCACAGCGCCTCTTCTGCTCTGTGAATCATTCCAGGTGTACCCATTTGGGCTGCCATTGCTTCCAACAATTGGCGCCCTTGCGTTAGACGCCCTTCAGGTGTGTACTGGTTGTACTGGTTTGACCAGTAGGCCCATTGAGCCTGTCCAATTTCAGCCTCTAGGAGCAGGAACCATGGAAGGGTCCCAATGTGACAGAAAAACCCAATTAGAAGCTGACAAACGAGTTCGCCAGCACCATATACCCCATGCAACCCATTTTGTTGACTTTCACAAGCATCATCATGAGCTTGAAGAGTTTTGAAATTCAAAATTGACACAATTGTGTTGTACAAAACATTTCGTTCTCGAAATGCCTTCTCCAAATCACCCCCATCAAGTGCAAGAGCTTCGTATTGGATTTGCTCAAGGGTATCAACACTTCTGATGAGAACAACAGAATCCTGAGGTGATATGTTTGCACTTGGTTGATGTCGGTTGGGATGATGGTAGCAATGAGTAGCATATACCAATGTGTCAGGATAGTTCACTCCATCCTGGAGATGAGATACATCCTCAAAATACTGCCGCCGCTTTTTTCTCATGTGGAGAAGGAATTCCAATCCAAATGTGTCGCAATCGGTTTCTTCAATGTGAAAGCCGTTGATATGACAAGGGCATTCAGTCAGTCGGTTGATCTCGAGGTAGAAAATCACCGGCCTGTGGCTGACCACAATTGCTCCCATGGCAAACCAGCTCAGAAGTCTCAACGGTTGTTTAATATTCTTGTACCTTTCCATCAACTGGCGAACCGGAAAGGAATAGCTTGCATAATAAGGCGAAGACTTTTCAAGATGACATCCAGGAAGCACATAAGAAACGCCACCATTGCTCACGAGATTGGAAGCATCAACATTCATGAGAGATTTGTCAAGACTCGGGACAAAGTCAGTAAAGCCTTTCAGTGTCTCCCAGTGCATAAGAACTTTGTTGGTGAAAGAGTTGCACGACGATTTGCCATATCCATGCACCCCAAGTCGTTCTGTGGTAAAGGTGTCTTCATCCAGGACTGTCCTAGTCCATGCTGTGATCATTCCATATTCTTTTGTTGGACAGTTGTATTTGTCGAAGTGACCTGTCAGAGTTGCATCAAGAGCTTTCTCATCGGCACCTTCCATTGGTTCTACCATGGCACAGCGGACATGACTCCTCCTGAGACGCCGGGACACTTTCAGTGCCTCGTGGAGATTGCTTTGGTGAAGTCGTTCAGCATTATACTGATTCCGAAGGTTATCATTATATATGTTGAGCCCATGTTGCACTCTTGCCAGTCGAACAAAGCTGCTCATTGCTACAAAGAGTTTGATGACAGCTTGGTTCATTGTGCCCATATGAAGGTTAGGATGGGGCAAAAACAAGGATTGGGTGTCACGCAACTGTGCATTTTCATTGCCACAGAAGCCGAAATCTCGCCCAAAATTCCCCCTGCTACCATCAATTGACCCTCTTTCAGAGCATATCAGCCTCACTGAATCCCAATTAACAGCATCCACGAGGTCGTTTGGGATATGATTCCAAACCCAGATAAAACCCTCAGGATCAGAAAACGCTTGTTCAGTGGGAAGAATTTCGACGACTTCAATGCTGTTATTTTGTCTTGCCATTGCCAACAGTGATGGTAGATTTTCCCTCTTGACAGCATAGTGAAACGTCAACCTTCCATCTGCAGCAATATATAGCTATATTGTGAATATCATGTGGGCATTTGGGTTATATTCTGTGACGAGTGACATTACACGTTATTGCATAACAGTACATTAAACATACCTGATTTTCAGTTGGATAGAGCAGTATTAGCCTTTGAACTGCATGCATTTTCCATCGCATGCTACATGAATGTGTTCGGAGTTGGGAAGCAGACATCCTTTTCTTCTCAGTAGAAGAATCCCCTCCAACTTCAAAACACAACACCGGTTCGTCCTTAAGAAAAGAGGCACCTGCAAATTCATTATCAGCACTTTCGGCAGAAGTACAAGAACCTTGAATAGGTACTGGTGATAGGAATGACTCACTTGGTGCTGGTGATGGCGGAAGGGTAGGTTTTGGTGTAGGACTTTGCAAAGATCCTCCTGCAGATGATAGTGGGTTCGCAGCTTGAGACTTTGATGCAGAAACAGAACATGACCTACATGTACTTGGGGCTGGTGATGGAGCAGGAGTAGGCTTTGGTGTAAAAGTTTTTGTAGGACCTGGGGTTGGCTGTGGGGTTGGCTCTTGAAACTTTCTCAATGTAGACATTGAATTCGATGGCGGCTGTGCTCCCGACACCAAGAATCCATTGTGTGATACTGCAGCAACAGCAGCACTGGAGATGATATTTGAGCTGATTCTGCCAACATTTTCGAAAAAGAAGCAAGCATTCGATAACCAGTCAAGTAAATTTTCAACAAAGTTCTTAGAGGAAGGACCTTGTTCACCCCAATTCGTTCTTTCCTCCACCTCGATTGACATCCCAGAAGGACACATAGTGCTTGGAGAGGACGCCTGTGCCTGCCTTTCACCCCCATGATGTCCTTCATCTCTTGCTAGTAGCGAACCTGGTACCCCCCCTCTTGCCACCTCTATTAACACCCCAGACGGACCCACAGGTAATACTGCCTGGGCCTCCCTGCCATCCAAATGGAGTTTTTCATCTGTTGCTTGTGGATTTGGTCCTTCCAATGTTGCTTTGGGAGCCATCCTCGCTGAAGCCGCCTGGATTGACACCCCAGAAAGACCAACAGTGCTTGGGGAGGACGCCGGAGTCTGTCGTACACCCAAACAAGGCCCAGGCTGTGCTGCCAAGGAGCCTGATCCTTCCCCGATTGCTGGGGAGACCGTGGAGGACTCCTGGGCCAGCTTTGCAACCCAACAGGGTAATGGCTGTGCTGCTAAGAAGCCTGATCCTGGGCCCTCCCCAATTGCTAGGGAGACTGCCATTGATTGAGTCACCGGGATTGACACTACCCCATAAGGAACCACAATGCTTGGGGAGGACACCTGGGCCAGCTGTGCACGCCAACATGGTCCTATCTCTGATACTGGGTAGCCTGGTCTGGCTGCCCTTGATGCTGATCCCTCCATGTTTGCTGGGGAGATAGCCCGCGATGGAATCACTTCGATTGACACTTTACAAAGAACCACAGTGTTTGGNNNNGAGTCACTTCGATTGACTCTCCACAAAGACCCACAGTTCTTGGGACGGATGCTTGAGCTTGCCTTGCACCCCAACAAAGTCTTGGCTCAGGAAATTGGGAGCCTGATCCCTCCATGTTTGCTGGGGAGACAGCCCGCGATGGAATCACTTTGATTGACACTCCACAAAGAACCATAGTGTTTGGGGAGGTTGCCTGAGCCTGTGATGCACCCCAACATGGTCCTGGCTCTGGTGTAGGGGAGCCTGATCCCTCCCCGCTAGTTGCTGGGGAGGAGCCAGCCGTTGCTGGGGAGACAGCTGTTGATGGAGCCACCTCGATTAACAATCCAGAGGGACCCTCTGTGCTTGGGGAGGTGCCTGGTCCTTCCACGGTTGCTAGGGAGATAGCCCTCGATGGAGCCACCTGGATTGACACCTCGCAAGAAACCACAGTGCTTGGGGAGGACACCTGGGCCAGCTGTACACCCCCACAGGGTCCTATCTCTGATACGGGGGAGCCTGGGCCCTCTCCCGATGCCGGGGAGACGGCCCTTCCTAGAGCCTCCTCGACTAATAGAACTCCAGATGGCTCTGAAACTCTGGAGCCCGATCCCTCCCTGATTGCTGGGGAGACAGCCTGCGATAGAGTCACTTCGATTGACTCTCCACAAAGACCCACAGTTCTTCGGACGGATGCTTGAGCTTGCCTTGCACCCCAACAAAGTCTTGGCTCAGGAAATTGGGAGCCTGATCCCTCCATGTTTGCTGGGGAGACAGCCCGCGATGGAATCACTTTGATTGACACTCCACAAAGAACCATAGTGTTTGGGAAGGTTGCCTGAGCCTGTGATGCACCCCAACATGGTCCTGCCTCTGGTGTAGGGGAGCCTGGTCCCTCCCCGCTAGTTGGGGAGGAGCCAGCCATTGCTGGGGAGACAGCTGTTGATGGAGCCACCTCGATTAACACTCCAGAGGGACCCTCTGCGCTTGGGGAGGTGCCTGGTCCTTCCACGGTTGCTGGGGAGACAGCCTTCGATGGAGCCACCTGGATTGACACCTCACAAGGAACCACAGTGCTTGGGGAGGACATCTGGGCCAGCTCTGCACCCCCACAGGGTCCTATCTCTGATACGGGGGAGTCTGGTCCCTCTCCTGATGCTGGGGATATGGCCCTTCCTGAGGCCACCTCGCCTGATACTCCAGAAAGCCCCACAGTAATTGGGGGGGATGCTTGAGCCTGCCTTGCACCCCAACAAAGGCTTGGCTCTGAAACTCTGGAGCCTGATCCCTCCCTGATTGCTGGGGAGATAGCCTGCGATGGAGTCACTTCGATTGACACTCCACAAAGAACCATTGTGTTTGGGGAGGTTGCCTGAGCCTGTGATGCACCCCAACATTGTCCTGGATCTGGTGTAGGGGAGCCTGGTCCCTCCCCGCTAGTTGGGGAGGAGCGCGTTGCTGGGGAGACAGCTGTTGATGGAGCTATCTCGATTAACACTCCAGAGGGAACCTCTGCGCTTGGGGAGGTGCCTGGTCCTTCCACGGTTGCTGGGGAGACAGCCCTCGATGGAGCCACCTGGATTGACACCTCGCAAGAAACCACAGTGCTCGGGGAGGACACCTGGGCCAGCTGTGCACCCCCACAGGGTCCTATCTCTGATACGGGGGAGCCTGGGCCCTCTCCCGATGCTGGGGAGACGTCCCTTCCTAGGGCCACCTCGACTGATAGAACTCCAGATGGCTCTGAAACTCTGGAGCCCGATCCCTCCCTGATTGCTGGGGAGACAGCCTGCGATGGAGTCACTTCGATTGACTCTCCACAAAGACCCACAGTTCTTGGGACGGATGCTTGAGCTTGCCTTGCACCCCAACAAAGTCTTGGCTCAGGAAATTGGGAGCCTGATCCCTCCATGTTTGCTGGGGGGACAGCCCGCGATGGAATCACTTTGATTGACACTCCACAAAGAACCATAGTGTTTGGGAAGGTTGCCTGAGCCTGTGATGCACCCCAACAGGTCCTATCTCTGATACGGGGGAGCCTGGTCGGGAGACGTGCCCTTCCTAGTAGAGCCACCTGGACTGATAGTACTCCAGAAAGTCCCACAAGTTTCTTGGGACGATGCTTGAGCTTGCCTTGCACCCCAACAAAGTCTTGGCTCAGGAAATTGGGAGCCTGATCCCTCCATGTTTGCTGGGGAGACAGCCCGCGATGGAATCACTTTGATTGACACTCCACAAAGAACCATAATGTTTGGGGAGGTTGCCTCAGCCTGTGGTGCACCCCAACATTGTCCTGGCTCTGGTGTAGGGGAGACTGGTCCCTCCCCGCTAGTTGGGGAGGAGCCAGCCATTGCTGGGGAGACAGCTGTTGATGGAGCCACCTCGATTAACACTCCAGAGGGACCCTCTGCGCTTGGGGAGGTGCCTGGTCCTTCCACGGTTGCTGGGGAGACAGCCTTCGATGGAGCCACCTGGATTGACACCTCACAAGGAACCACAGTGCTTGGGGAGGACATCTGGGCCAGCTCTGCACCCCCACAGGGTCCTATCTCTGATACGGGGGAGTCTGGTCCCTCTCCTGATGCTGGGGATATGGCCCTTCCTGAGGCCACCTCGCCTGATACTCCAGAAAGCCCCACAGTAATTGGGGGGGATGCTTGAGCCTGCCTTGCACCCCAACAAAGGCTTGGCTCTGAAACTCTGGAGCCTGATTCCTCCCTGATTGCTGGGGAGATAGCCTGCGATGGAGTCACTTCGATTGACACTCCACAAAGAACCATTGTGTTTGGGGAGGTTGCCTGAGCCTGTGATGCACCCCAACATTGTCCTGGATCTGGTGTAGGGGAGCCTGGTCCCTCCCCGCTAGTTGCTGGGGAGGAGCCAGCCGTTGCTGGGGAGACAGCTGTTGATGGAGCCACCTCGATAACACTCCAGAGGGACCCTCTGCGCTGGGGAGGTGCCTGGTCCTTCCACGGTTGCTGGGGAGACAGCCCTCGATGGAGCCACCTGGATTGACACCTCGCAAGAAACCACAGTGCTTGGGGAGGACACCTGGGCAGCTGTGCACCCCCACAGGGTCCTATCTCTGATACGGGGGAGCCTGGGCCCTCTCCCGATGCTGGGGAGACGTCCCTTCCTAGGGCCACCTCGACTGATAGAACTCCAGATGGCTCTGAAACTCTGGAGCCCGATCCCTCCCTGATTGCTGGGGAGACAGCCTGCGATGGAGTCACTTCGATTGACTCTCCAAAAGACCCACAGTTTTGGGGGATGCTTGAGCTTGCCTTGCACCCCAACAAAGTCTTGGCTCAGGAAATTGGGAGCCTGATCCCTCCATGTTTGCTGGGGGGACAGCCCGCGATGGAATCACTTTGATGACACTCCACAAAGAACCATAGTGTTTGGGGAGGTTGCCTGAGCCTGTGATGCACCCCAACATGGTCCTGGCTCTGGTGTAGGGGAGCCTGGTCCCTCCCCGCTAGTTGCTGGGGAGGAGCCAGCCGTTGCTGGGGAGACAGCTGTTGATGGAGCCACCTCGATTAACAATCCAGAGGGACCCTCTGGCTTGGGGAGGTGCCTGGTCCTTCCACGGTTGCTAGGGAGAAGCCCTCGATGGAGCCACCTGGATTGACACCTCGCAAGAACCACAGTGCTTGGGGAGGACACCTGGGCCAGCTGTGCACCCCCACAGGGTCCTATCTCTGATACGGGGGAGCCTGGGCCCTCTCCCGATGCCGGGGAGACGGCCCTTCCTAGAGCCCCTCGACTAATAGAACTCCAGATGGCTCTGAAACTCTGGAGCCCGATCCCTCCCTGATTGCTGGGGAGACAGCCTGCGATAGAGTCACTTCGATTGACTCTCCACAAAGACCCACAGTTCTTGGACGGATGCTTGAGCTTGCCTTGCACCCCAACAAAGTCTTGGCTCAGGAAATTGGGAGCCTAATCCCTCCATGTTTGCTGGGGAGACAGCCCGCGATGGAATCACTTTGATTGACACTCCACAAAGAACCATAGTGTTTGGGAGGTTGCCTGAGCCTGTGATGCACCCCAACATGTCCTGCTCTGGTGTAGGGGAGCCTGGTCCCTCCCCGCTAGTTGGGGAGGAGCCAGCCATTGCTGGGGAGACAGCTGTTGATGGAGCCACCTCGATTAACACTCCAGAGGGACCCTCTGTGCTTGGGGAGGGTGCCTGGTCCTTCCACGGTTGCTGGGGAGACAGCCCTCGATGGAGCCACCTGGATTGACACCTCGCAAGGAACCACAGTGTTGGGGAGGACACCTGGGCCAGCTGTGCACCCCCACAGGGTCCTATCTCTGATACGGGGGAGCCTGGTCCCTCTCCCGATGCTGGGGAGACGCCCTTCCTGGAGCCACCTCGCCTGATACTCTAGAAAGCCCCACGGTGTTTGGGGGGATGCTTGAGCCTGCCTTGCACCCCAACAAAGGCTCGGCTCTGAAACTCTGGAGCCATGATCCCTCCCTGATTGCTGGGGAGACAGCCCGCGATGGAGTCACTTCGATTGACACTCCACAAAGAACCATAATGTTTGGGGAGGTTGCCTGAGCCTGTGATGCACCCCAACATTGTCCTGGCTCTGGTGTAGGGGAGACTGGTCCCTTCCCGCTAGTTTGGGGAGGAGCCAGCCGTTGCTGGGGAGACAGCTGTTGATGGAGCCACCTGATTAACACTCCAGAGGGACCCTCTGGCTTGGGAGGTGCCTGGTCCTTCCACGGTTGCTGGGGAGACAGCCCTCGATGGAGCCACCTGATTGACACCTCCAAGGAACCACAGTGTTGGGGAGGACCTGGCCGTGTGCACCCACAGGGTCCTATCTCTGATACGGGGGAGCCGGTCCCTCCCAGTGGGGAGACGCCCTTCCTGGAGCCACCTCGCCTGATACTCTAGAAAGCCCCACAGTGTTTGGGGGGGATGCTTGAGCCTGCCTTGCACCCCAACAAAGGCTCGGCTCTGAAACTCTGGAGCATGATCCCTCCCTGATTGCTGGGGAGACAGCCCGCGATGGAGTCACTTCGATTGACACTCCACAAAGAACCATAATGTTTGGGGAGGTTGCCTGAGCCTGTGATGCACCCCAACATGTCCTGGCTCTGGTGTAGGGGAGACTGGTCCCTTCCCGCTAGTTGCTGGGGAGGAGCCAGCCGTTGCTGGGGAGACAGCTGTTGATGGAGCCACCTCGATTAACAATCCAGAGGGACCCTCTGTGCTTGGGGAGGTGCCTGGTCCTTCCACGGTTGCTGGGGAGACAGCCCTCGATGGAGCCACCTGGATTGACACCTCGCAAGAACCACAGTGCTTGGGGAGGACACCTGGGCCAGTGTGCACCCCCACAGGGTCTATCTCTGATACGGGGGAGCCTGGGCGCTCTCCCGATGCGGGGAGACGGCCCTTCCTAGAGCCACCTCGACTAATACAACTCCAGATGGCTCTGAAACTCTGGAGCCCGATCCCTCCCTGATTGCTGGGGAGACAGCCTGCGATGGAGTCACTACGATTGACTCTCCACAAAGACCCACAGTTCTTCGGACGGATGCTTGAGCTTGCCTTGCACCCCAAAAAAGTCTTGGCACAGGACATTGGGAGCCTGATCCCTCCATGTTTGCTGGGGGACAGCCCGCGATGGAATCACTTGATTGACACTCCACAAAGAACCATAGTGTTTGGGAAGGTTGCCTGAGCCTGTGATGCACCCCAACATGGTCCTGCTCTGGTGTAGGGGAGCCTGGTCCCTCCCCGCTAGTTGGGGAGGAGCCAGCCGTTGCTGGGGAGACAGCTGTTGATGGAGCCACCTGATTAACACTCCAGAGGGACCCTCTGTGCTTGGGAGGTGCCTGGTCCTTCCACGGTTGCTGGGGAGACAGCCCTCGATGGAGCCACCTGATTGACACCTCGCAAGGAACCACAGTGTTTGGGGAGGACACCTGGGCCAGCTGTGCACCCCCACAGGGTCCTATCTCTGATACGGGGAGCCTGGTCCCTCTCCCGATGCTGGGGAGACGGCCCTTCCTGGGCCACCTCGCCTGATACTCTAGAAAGCCCCACAGTGTTTGGGGGGGATGCTTGAGCCTGCCTTGCACCCCAACAAAGGCTCGGCTCTGAAACTCTGGAGCATGATCCCTCCCTGATTGCTGGGGAGACAGCCCGCGATAGAGTCACTTCGATTGACACTCCACAAAAAACCATAATGTTTGGGGAGGTTGCCTGAGCCTGTGATGCACCCCAACATTGTCCTGGATCTGGTGGTGTAGGGGAGACTGGTCCCTTCCCGCTAGTTGGGGATGAGCCAGCCATTGCTGGGGAGACAGCTGTTGATGGAGCCACCTCGATAAACACTCCAGAGGGACCCTCTGTGCTTGGGGAGGTGCCTGGTCCTTCCACGGTTGCTGGGGAGACAGCCCTCGATGGAGCCACCTGGATTGACACCTCACAAGGAACCATAGTGCTTGGGGATCTAGTCCACCACATCGGGGTCATTTCCCTCTTTCTAGAGAACCCGTTTTTGGCTCTGTTGCCTGCGGCACAAATTTTGGAGGAAAGTTCCGCAGCAATCGAGGGACCCCGTTCATGTAAATTGATGGGTTCTTCTCTCCTGCTAGCAAGTTCATCTTTGCCGCACAACCGATAGCCCAAGCCAACAAGAGCTCGAATAAATCCCATTGCCATGGCCTTCCGTTCTCCTGTTGCAATTTTAGAAGCTCGTGCCGCTGGCTCCACTGGTATGTACTGCTGCCAAACGATCCCCTTTTCTGTGGTGCTGCCAAACAATCCCCTTTTCCGTACAACCCAAATGCTCTCTCCCACCAGCTAATATTCCAAATCGTTTTCCAAAGTAGTCGTAATCGAATCACCACAGCAAATACGATTCCTCCTATGCCTCCCGAGGACCCAGCTAGTGGTGCTAGAAATCAGCTTCACCACTACACTCAACTCACAAACAAGCCTTTCCTCCGTGTGATCTGACTCTCTTCTCCTCTTCTCTTGCAACTACTGAGTCTTCTCAGTTCTTTTCCCAAATAGAAATTATCCAGTAGTCCGTCAGTTCATCAAGCCAAATGAGATGCGGCGTACGGCCTCCGAGCACCCGAACAATCCTGCCCAATAGCAGCTTCTTTCAAGGCGTCAGTAAAAGACTTTTCTGATTCTTTTGCCACAAATTGAACCTCACCGCTGACACCACAGACCTTCAATTACTAACACCTATCTTCTTCTGAGTGCACAGCATCTGGTTACACAATAAGCGGTCGGCAAATCAATATCATGGTCTCTTTTTTAGAAGATCTTTGTGCTGTCAAACAAGATCTTTGCTGTTTGCCTGCCGTTCCCACTAACCCTACAAAAAAGACCAAAAAAAAAGGACGACCACAACAAAATTCTAAACCAGCCAACTCCGTGGTTGGCGATACTGGTACCACGGTATCCAGCAAGAGACCATTCCATAGACAAAAAGGAGAGAAAGCAACACTGCAATGTCCTGGGTAGAATGGCTCCTGTTTGCCGTGTTGGCGTTCCAAGGGACGGCACTGGTTGCGTGGTTGGCTTACCTCCGAAAGGAAATGGCGAATGAAAAGAAGAAGATCAAGATACATTAGAAGTTGGTTGGTGCGGCGATGAACGACTAATCGCAGTAGCTAGATTTAGTGTTGCATACGAAGCGGCACAAAATCGAGGGAAATGTTGAACGACAAACCACGCATCAAACCATCCAGACGATGGTATAGATTGCTGAAAAAATAAGCGTAGCCTGAAGAGCACTTCTCGTAAAGTAGATACAACAGCCCAGAGGTGGAATTGGGATGCAATAGCAGGTGTACAACCAAACCTTGCAGAGTGCCAGCCAGTAGCTGGATTCGTGCCAACCCAACCGAGCACGCAACAGCACAAGTGCCGTACATCGTAGCTAGAGTGGTGGCTGCTACGCTGTTGCGCCACCATCTGAGCGTGTATTCATGCAAATCGTTCAGGGACGATCCCGCGTACCGGTACAGTACAGTTGTTTGAATGAACATGTACGAAATACAAGGAAGTCAATCCTCAAAATTGCAGCTAGCGATTGGCGTTGGCTACGTGTCTTCTAGCCATAAGCCCCAAAAGGTTCCCAATGCGGCAATTCTAAAGTCACATCATGGCATCTCCCCCTCCTCAAGACTGCGGTTCAAATCTCCCCTTCCTTTCCCTGTAAAATAAATGCCAACTGCCGAGTTGTGGCTTCCAGTGCTTCGCTATCAGGCAAACAACGCGCTTGAATGCGCCTCGCCTCCTCGAGACATTTCGTAGCTTCGGTAAAACGGCCTTGCTTTTCGTGCAATTTGGCAATGGCACACAAAGAAGCGGCGACATCCACATGAGATTCACCATGGATTCTGCAAGCCTCGCTCTTGCTTGCCTCGAACGCCTTCATGGCCTTTTTCTCCTTCCCCTCTTCGGAGTACAGCTGCCCAAGAACATGCAAAATGAAAGCCTCGTCCTGGTTGCTTGATCGTTCGACGCTGTCATCTTTGAGGGCCTCAACTGATCTTCGCAAGAGGTCGATACTTTCTTTCTTATCGCCCTTGGCTCGAGCGAGAAGACCTTTCGTTACGAGGATATCCGGATTCTCCGCGTCACTATTGGCTTCTCTGAACGCAAGTGATCTCTCCGAGGCGTCCACGGCCTCGGCCATGGCACCCTTGTCAAACATGCACATCCCCAAACGGAGGTAAATGGATGACAGCTGCGGATCCGATTTCCCATAACACAGTTTGAGCGAACGAAGCGCATCCATGTAGTGATCCAGCGCCTTGGCGTACTCTTGCCTCTTGAAGTAAATAGTCCCCATCGTTTCCTCAATGTCAGCAACAAGAAGATGTGCAGACTTTTCTTTGCCATGGCACACCAAAATATCGAGAGCCACAGTGTACTCGTCGAGCGCCTCTGCGAAACGGGTGGAAGCAAACAACGTATCTCCTATTTTCTTGGCAGTCGCAGCACAAGTCATGTCGTTGTCTCCGTAGTGCAGCTTTTGTAGCTTCAAGCACTCTTTCAGAGAAGCAACAGCTTCATCAAACTCGCCCAGCGATGCGTGAGCAGTTCCAATGTTGAAAAAGACTGTGCTTCTGTCGGCCAGCGTCATTGGAGAAGCGAGCATCGAAGAGTTCCAGCAAGCAATCGAGTCATCATGACATCCCCATTTGGAGAAAGACATGCCAATATCAACAAGGGCTCTAGAAACATCCTGATCTTCAACACCACCACCAGTTTCAATTTTGCCAATGGCATCGACCATGGCTTGGTACGCTTGTTGGATCACTTGCAGATAGTACTGCATTGATGAGGTTCGAGACTCGATTGGTCCAGGGACCAAGCGCTCCAACAAGAACTCGACATCTTGGATGTGGACCTGGACAGCTGCAGTCAGGCCCAGGCACCGGATTCGGCGCTTCACAAATCCACGATTGGAAAGCATGTCCCCAGCTTCAATGAACATCTCCCCCATAATCAAATGAAGAGGCATCCTGGAAGCAAGGTATCTTGCACGGCCATCTTCGACAGAAGCTGTCCGATCTTTTTCACTGTCCATCACGTTCGTGACCAACGCTCTGTGCCAAGCACCCCGAGACACCAACTGGGCTATAGAAGCATTGTTGTCAATCAGGCTGCTCGCAAACTCCCTCACGAACCGTGGAGGAAGACCTGTCGATTCCAAATTGGAAGGATCCGAGAGGATACCAAGGGCGCCGAGAATGGTCCGAATTAGCGTTGCGGCATTCTTTCTGTCCCCATAGAGCACTTCGGCCTCATCCTTGAACGTTGCCTCGTCAAAGGCCAACAGCGACTCAAACAACAGCTCCACAATTTCAATCGGTACCGTTGGGGAGATGGAGTCCGCGCCAACATGAAGCAGCTGTCTCCTGCTGAAAAATACTTCGACGTAGGCGACGACGCAAACGTTTAAGATCATGGTTGGGATGTCACTCGAGTTTGAGGAGAGGCAGAGCTCCAGGCGAGAGCTTAGCGTGTTGTCGTCCACATTGAATGGGGCATCCGTCAAGAGCCGATCGATTGTCTTCAAGCTGCTCGATACATCCGAATCGCTTTGCACACTGTGGAGGGAAAGGAATCTTCCAAACAGTGACACAACAGAAGGATGAAACCCGCACTTTTGAACGAAGCTTTTGACTTCCACAGAGTCGCTAAAATCTTTCGCGCGCAACTCCAATGCTTTACCATTCAACAATCGAGTGGTTCTGGCACACTCTTGATGCAATAGTTGGATTGCTGCATGCTCATCCATTGATGCCCCAACATCGACTGTGCCAGCACTGTCCTTCCAAGAAGCCGGAGAGCGAGTCGTGAACAACACCACAGGACCATCAGTTCCTTCGGAACGGAAATCAAACCAATCCATGTCCTTCTTCTCGCCGACATCATCCAAGACAATCAGCACTCTCTTCTGGTCAAGATATGTCGTCATGGTTTTCTTCGCCCGGATCATTGCTTCGTGCTCGCGACAACGACGTTCGGTTTCTGATTCGCCAGAGACCAGGGCAGCTGTTTCATGCAAAATGTCCTTTGCATTATCCCCAAGTTGTTGCAAAATACTTCGCAAGAGCATGATGTAGCGACAGTGCGGAAGTTCTTCTGCCAGGGGTGCCGCTAGCCAAACAATCCCATCGGAGTAAAAGTCTCGAATCTTTGAAAGTCGAAGGACCATGGCCACGAGACTTGTCTTTCCCGTCCCTGCTGGCCCAATCACTGCTGTCAGTCTGCCTGGCTCTTGCGATTCTTCGGACGGCAAAACTCGCTCGACTATCTCATCGACAAGCTGCTCTCGTGGCAGCGGTGTACCTCGCATGGATTTCAACGCGAGCTTGGCAGCTTTTGGAATTGCAACCGCTCGCTTCTCCTCGTCTGTTTTAGTAGGCATTGCGTGCGCATACTGCTCGGGCATGGCCTCGTACTCGCAGTATTCCAACAGCATCTTTACTGATTTCGGAGAGATGACTGGATTTGTTGCATCAGATTCGCGGAGGAGGAAATGGAAGCAAGTTCTTCGTAATGCTTGGGCGTCGTCAGCATTACCGTAGACCTCATGCCACTCTTCGGAATGCAACTCCACCCCCCAAGCCTGCTGAAGCATTGTTGATGGTTGGTACTTCTCAGACGCGTCATCTCCATCATCTGTTCTGCTAGCCGTTGTCAAAGCCCACGCATCGTGGCGTAGAAGCTCGAACAAAGTCACCACCAACTTTTTGGTTTCAAAATTGTGTTCAATATCCATTGGGGACCTGCATTTGACAAAGAACATATCTTTGAATTGCACCGTCAAGACCTTCACAACGAGGGCAGCACGGTAGAGGACATCATCGGTGTCTCCCGCAGACGATCGACCCCAAAGGCGCACAAGGGCTGGTTTCAACTGAGCTTGCCACAAGTGCCACAGTAGCGGAGCGTAATTACAAGTGATGCTTTCCAACGCCTCGCGAGCATCTTCGACATTCGGAAGCGAATCTCCTTCGTGTTGGCTGTCATCGTATGCCACCATCAATTCCAGAGCATCTGACAATTGACCGAAAGAATCAAGCATTGCTTCCATGTACTGTACCAATCTCTGGGCGTAGGTTGTCTCTTTTGTGGAGTTGTCCGAATTTGTTTGCCACCTAGTCCTTGCGCTGGTAACTTCGTTCAACAGAGTGGAGAGTGGCACGGACTCGTCTGGCAGGCTGTCGTGTCCAGTTTCCTGGGACGCTCTACGAGAAATCCTTTTCTTGCGGCGTCGCTTCGATCGGGCCGCCAAGTCCGCATTCTCCAAACCGGTTGGCTCCGTCAAGAGGGAGACATCGTCGTCTGACCCTATCGTTGCTGTGTGCTCGATAGGCGCGTCAGCGTCCAGTTTCTTCGATTTCTTCTTCTTCTTGCGGATTCCACCGTCGGCAATATCAGCTGCTTCCCCATCATCTTCGTCTTCCAGCAATTCTACTTGGCTTTTCTTTTTCTTCTTCCCTTTCCTCTTTCGCTTGCTTGCGTCCTGTTGAGATGACGTTTCCGGTTCTTCTTCATCTACTGTAGGTTGTCGACTCTTTTTCTTTTTCTTCTTCTTCTTCTTTGGTTTGGTTGTGTCATGTTGCAGCACTTCATCAGGTCCCTGCGCATCAACATCCGGCTCTTGTCGGGCCTGTTTCTTCTTCTTCTTCTTCTTTGCTTCGGGTGCTGCTTCTGGCTCATCTGGTGGTTCCTCCTCATCTGGTGGTACTTGTTGGCTCTTTTTCTTTTTCTTTGGTTTCTTTGGCCCGAGCAAGGCATCAGGTTCATCTGGTGGCTCCTCTTCATTCTCTTCATCCAGTGGTTCTTGTTGGCTCTTTTTCTTTTTCTTTGGTTTCTTTGGCTCGAGCAAGGCATCAGGTTCATCTGGTGGCTCCTCTTCATTCTCTTCATCCAGTTGTACTTGATGGCCCTTCTTCTTTTTCTTTGGTTTGTTTGGCTCAAGCAAAGCCTCGGGTTCCTCTGGTGGTTCCTCTTCATTCTCTTCATCCAGTGGTTCCTGTTGGTCCTTTTTCTTTTTCTTCTTCTTTCGTCTCTTTGTTTCTGGTGGTGCTTCTGGCTCAATTGCTGGTTCCTCCTCATCCAGTGGTTCTTGTGGGCTCTTTTTCTTCTTCTTGCGCTTCTTTGGCTCAAGCTCAGGTGCTACTTCTGGCTCAACTGGCGGTTCCTCCTCCTCATCCAATGGTTCTTTTTGAGTCTTTTTCTTCTTCTTCTTCTTTGCTTTCGTTTGTTCACGTGCTGTTTCGGGCTCCTCTGATGCAGATTGTTCTGATGGATCCTCCTCTTGGTCTAGTGATTCTACAATACTTTTCTTCTTTTTCTTTTTTCGTTTCGGTTTGTCATTGCCATCATCAACAGTGTCTTCTGCAACGTCTTCCACTCGATCCTTCTTCTTTTTCTTCTTTTTTGGTTTGGTTGGTTCATTGGCAGTGTCGTCCTCCTCAACTTTGTCCTCCTCGTCAGTATCATTGTGGGTATGTTCTTCCTGCACCGAATGCTCCGTTGGCTCTTCTTCTTCATCTTCTTTCTCTTGAAGAGGGTTGATCCAGGTGGTGTATGGAGTGCCATCAGCTGGATAGTAGTAGTATGCCAATCGATTGGGATCCCATGCTTTTGCCCATCCAGCATCATAGAGATCATTGTCATTGTCATTACCATTGTGGGTATCAGCTACCGCCGAGGGCTGCGGTTGGTCTTCTTCCAGAGAAGAGAACTCTTCTGCGACGGTTGTTTCGGTGGAATCTACGTTCTTGTCGAGCTGTTTCTTCTGTTTGATGCCTGACTTGTTCTGTTTCCATTCCCTATCCTCAACTTCGTCCTCTTCTTCGTCCTCCAATATGGGTGTCATGGGTTCTTCCTGCAGCGAATGCTCCGTTGGTTCAGCTTCTTTCTCTTGAAGTGGGTTGATCCAGGTGGTGTATGCAGTGCCATCGGCTGGATAGTAGTAGTACGCAAATCGATTGGCATCCCATGCTTTGGCCCATCCAGCTTCATAGAGATCGTCGTCCGAAGGGACCGAAGTAATGACGGCTTGTTCTATTAGAGATAAAACGGATGATTGCGTATTGTCATTGTCGTCGTCATCTTCATCATCACTGCTCCATTCTGGCTCTTCTTCGAGAGGTTTTGACTTTTTCAATGGCCAATCGTCGTCGTCGTCGTCGTCGGATGTTTCAAACTCATCATCACTATCGTCTTGCTCGTCTGCATCTTCTGCATTGGCACTCCCTCGACTGGTGGAACTGCTGCTGTCCCATTCGTCGTCTTGCCCGTCATCGGAACTGCCGTCCCAAGAATCCTCGTCATTCGCTTCCCCACTACTGCTGGTCCACTCATCACCATCATTCTCATCATCATCGTGGCTAACAATCACTTCTTGCGTGGGAGGCTTGGCGGGGTTCCATTTCCGATGAAGCTGGGCCAACTTTTGCTGAGGAGGAAGTAGAGAAGGTGCGGAGACTCGTTTGAACAGCGGACCCCTCTCGGTTTTCAGCTTGCGACTGCTCCCATAGTCGGGACGGAGCATGGAAAGACTCTGGTGCATTCGTTGCTGTTGTTGCTGATTGTCATTTTGTGTCAAGTTGCCTCGTTGTGATTTTTCGGATTTCTTCTTTTTGTTTCCCAAGACTTTCTTGATCCAAGAGCCTGCTCCAAAGTATCGACGTGACGACTCTTTCTTGCCGCTCTCCATCAGGGATGGTCGCTCCTTCTGTTCCACCGTGGAGGTTGGGAGAATATCGACTCCCAACTGCATCAGATCGGAAATGGAATCGTCTTGGCGGTCCGTCATGTTTGTTTTGAATGGAATCAGAATCAAATTGCTTCGTTCTTCTTACGATACAGGTGAAATTCTATCCAAGCTCCTTATTCGCTGCATTAGCTGCACTCTACCAATGACTGCCTTGGATCCTTGCTACCGGTAGCTAGAGTAGCCAGAAGTGTTTCCTTCATGTGATTGTTTGTGAACAACCTTTGGGCTCGGGAGCAGGTGATGTTGACCGTTCGGAAGCCGAACCGAAGCGCGATTAATTAATCTTGGATGGATATCCCTTTAAATCTTTCTGAGTCCTGAAAATCATCAGCAAGATTTAACATCAATTTTTGTCTGTGACGTCAGTGCCCCCAAAGCTTTCAAAATGATGCCATCCATCACATCTCCTTTCTGCATCAACAGGTCAGGGCCAGCCTCTGACCATGCCAAGGATCATTAGTATTGCTGTCATAAAACAATCAACGAGAGCAACAGCAGCGATCTGCGACTTTATTTTCTGGTTACGGTAGCATACCTGAATGAATCTCACAGAGGCTACCCTTTCGAATTTCGAATAGACAAGACATGATGGCCCCAAGGACGATTTTTCAGACAGCATTGCTGTGCTTCCTGTCCGTCCAAACTCGTGGCTTTCACCAACCTCAGTTGCAGTCAAGGACATTATCAGTACCATTCCATCCAGTTCCACTCTCATCATCATCATCACGACAGAAGACACCCATCAACGCCAACTCTCTGCTGGTATCCAAGCCACACTCGTCGTCGTCTACTACCGAATTACAGGCACTGGCCTCAGCGGCATCGTCACCCGTGGGAGCCTTTCTCATCTTGACGGGAATTATTGTCGTGCACGAGTGTGGACATTACCTGGCGGCACGGAGCTACGGGATCAAGGTGGAAGAATTCAGCATTGGCGTTGGACCCAAATTGGCCGGGTTTACGGCCTATGGAAACGAATTCAATTTCCGTGCCATTCCTCTCGGTGGTTATGTGCGATTTCCCGAAAACTACAACATTACATTGGCGCAAGAGCAAGAACGGGAAGTCCGAGAAGCCATCAGGGCGCAACGCGAAGAAAATGCGGTGGAAAATATTAATGTGCCTCAGAAGAAGACACTGGGATATCGTCTCACCAATCTACTTTCGCTTGGAGCCCTCGATGAACAACGAAAGCAAGACGAAAAGGAGGCATTGATAAAACAGCAACAACAACAAGAAGAGAAAAGGAAACAGTCATCATGGTGGAACTCATTGTTCAGCAGTAGTAGCTCCAAGAAAGAGATTACGAAACCACCACCCATTCAAGACCCTGATGACCTTGAAATTGAGTACTATGATGACCCAGACCTGCTTCAAAACCGCCCGTGGTTTCAACGAGCAGTGGTCCTCAGTGGAGGTGTGGTCTTCAATCTACTCCTGGCCTTTTCCATTTACTTTGGTCAAATGGCAACCGTGGGATTGCCACAGCCCGTCTTTGAACAAGGCATCTTGGTGTCACAAAACCCAGCCAGGGAAGCTGCAGCCGATGGACTTCTGCGAAAAGGTGATATTGTCTTGGGAGTCAACGGTAAGGATGATTTGTAAAACTTGGCTGACGGTGGACTCCACACCTTCTAACTCTAATGTCGTTGCTGCTGCTGCCCCCAATGCACCCGCGAAGGAAAAGCATTTGCCATGTCGCAGTCACCTGGAGCGGCGGCATCGCAGCAGGCTATATCCAACTTTATTTCCGACATTCGAGCCACTCCAGATGGGTATTCGCTGCAAGTTTCCATTCTTCGCAATAAGCAAGCGGAGACTGTCAGCATTCAACCGAAACGAGTTAGCCCAGATGGCCCCAAGACAATAGGGGTGTTGCTGACTCCCAACTTTATAAAGACCGAGGTGATCAAATTCGACAACCCCGTACAAGCCGTGGCACCGGCAGCCAAGCTAGTTTCATCCTCTACCAAGGACACGGCAGCTGGTCTGTTCTCAGTTTTTGGACAAGCCATTGCTGGAAAAGATACCGGTGGGCAGCAGGTTTCAGGTCCCATTGGCCTCATCAAAACTGGATCGGATGTGGTGGCATCCAACAATTGGCCCGCAGTCTTGGCTTTTGCAGCCGCAATCAGCATCAACCTTGGAGTTGTCAATGCCCTTCCGTTGCCTGCGCTGGACGGAGGACAGCTAGTCTTTGTATTGGCGGAAGCTGTGACTCGAAGAAAGGTCCCACAGAAATTGCAGGAAGAGATCATCGGCATCACAGTCTTGCTACTCCTTTTGGTGAGCGTGAATGCTGCCTTGGGAGATATACAAAGCTTGATTGTAAAGAAGTAATAGCTACGCAGAACCATGTTTTGATGCTTTGCTTAGTCTACCTAGTAGCTAGGCGAAGTCCACTTCGTATTGTCTCAAGTTCCAAGGGAGAAATCACGGGCAACGCAGTGGCGGTCTCCTCCACCGCAGGCTGGAGATCATGCCAGATGCACACGCACTCGAGAGCACAAATCATGCGCTCAGCTTGCCAGTCCCCACCTACAGTACAGTAAATGTAGCACACAGCGAAAGCGAACATTTGAAATAGAAAATTTTACAAGATTACTCCTCTTCTTCGCTATAATCGTCGTCATCCTCCAAATCTTCTTCTTCGTTTAGAATCCAGTCGCTTTGGAGGGCAAGGGTCGCTGTTATTCTCAGTGCCGGGTTCACCGTCAACATCCTCGTAATGAGATGCTTCACATCGTCTGAAATGTCTTTCCAGTACCTCTTGTGGAACTTGTATTCTCCGTATCGGATTTGTTTGATCATTTCCCGAGGCTCACCCCTGAACGGACGGTACCCACCCAACATGATATACAGAACCACACCCAGACTCCACATGTCGCACTGTACGTCATAAGCTGGTCTGTGCTCAAGGACTTCGGGGGCAACATAGCCCTCAGTTCCGCACTGCGTCCGCAAAGAGTATGGGTACAAGACACGCTTGGCGAAACCGAAATCACTGATCTTAACATCGGTGTCGCTGTTTCCACGGGTCTGAGCAAGGCGAAAAGTCAGATTAGAATCAGAACACCTCAATAAGAAACACTTCCCTTGTGTTTCCAACATGACAAACGTACCAAAAGGATATTTTCCGGCTTCAAGTTACGGTTGGCGATACGTTTGTTGTGCATGTGCTCCACACCCAATAGCATTTGCTTGCAGACAATTCTGGCCTCAGGTTCCGAGTAGCTGTGTTTATGTGTGATTCTCTCGATAAGGTCGCCTCCTCGCATGCATCCAAGAACGAGGAAAGTATAGTCAGGCTCCTCAAAGACGTCATGCAACATTACAATATGAGGAGATCCGGAAACCATTTGCAAGGCGGTGATTTCATCTTGCAGTGCAACAGCATCATTTGGACCCAGATCGGTTCTGGCAACACGCTTGACAGCGTAGATATCGCGAGACTGCCGATGCTTCGCTTCATTGACAACGGTGTACTGTCCCGATCCAATCTGGAAAAATAAAAGGAGGAATCACGTGAGGTGTCGGTGTATGAGATGTAACGACAACAGAACGAATTGACCACGTACTTCTCTGCCCCATTTGTACAGGGATTCGAAGGGCTTTCCACTGGAGGAGTCTTCGATGATTGTTTGTTCCTCTTCTTCGGCAATAGCAGCGAATGGTTGCGCCTATAGCAAGGGAAAGAAAGCAATACGTTTGAGCAATGGCGAGCGCCGACGAACCCAGCCCCTCAACCAAAAATTATATAAACATACATTTGTTGTGAGCTTCTGCCGTGTTTCGATGTCGATAAAGTTGACCAGAGATGTTGTGAACGCGGCTCCCAGCGAGCCCATCTTTCCTCCCATTCCCGCAACCTGTGGTTGTGCAGTGGAGGCTGTGAGCAACAGAATAAGGTTCCTGAAGTGGTAAACAACAAGAGACGATACGTACCGGCTGTCCTGATGTGCCAGGCTCCTGTGCCTTGGTTTTCAGTGCTCTCTGAGCTCCGGATAAATCCTTCGTGTTGAGGGCTTCGTCCTCGAGTATCATCCACGGGCTTTGCAGCGCGTCGTCTGCTGTAAGACGGATCTCTGGATCAACCTGGAGAAGGTTGCTGATCATGTCTTTCGCGTCGGTTGAAATTTCGTCCCAATACTTCTCGTGAAATTCGTACTCTCCGCTGATAATAGCCTGGGCCAGCAAGTCAACTGGTCCTTCGAACGGGGCATAACCTCCCAGAAGGATATACACAACTACACCAACACTCCACATATCTGCCCTTGTGTCGTAACCCGTGTCCTTGAGCTCCAGAACTTCTGGCGCAACGTACTGAGCAGTTCCACACAACGTCCGCAGGCAGTTCGGCCGAGGTACTTTCTTAGCAAAACCAAAGTCGGCAATCTTAATGGAGGTATCGTCGCCTTGTTCCTGTGAACGAACGAAAGAAGGTAGTAGCACAAAAGCAGATCAGAAACAGCTCGTGATCGAGACAGCAACCAGAACAACCAACCACTACAAGAGCTTGCATGGACTTACCACTAGGAGCACGTTTTCTATGACGTTGCGAGTAAGGTAGGATGCATGAGTAGAAGTTTTGCATACGGAACAAGAAGCCGTGTTTTTGCTACTCACCAGGTTTGATATCACGATGGGCGATCTTCTTCTTGTGGATGTAATCCATGGCCTGGAAAATGATGCGGCAGACTCGCCGTGCTTCTCTCTCTGTGTACACTTCTTTGTCTCCGATTCGAGTCAGCAAGTCACCACCCTTCATTTCTTCCATGACGAGGTAGACATGATCAGGCTCTTCAAACACATCGTACAGCCGAACGATGTGCGGACCTCCACGAAGAAGCTTCAATGCCCAGATTTCATCTTTCAAAGTGGCCTCGCCTCCTTCCTCCAACATGGTCAAGTCTACGTCTTTCACTGCATAGGTGACTCCACGAGTCTTGTGCGTCGCTTGAAAGACACAAGCGTACCCTCCCTCACCAAGCATTTCGCCGACATCGTAGAAATCATCAAACGGTCTGCCAGTAACACTATCTTCTACAAACTTTTCAACTGGCTTTTCCTTTCTGTGCTGATTGCTTGTCACTCTTGTCTTGTTCTTTCCTGTCCCGTTGATGTAACTATCGAACTGCTCCCGTAAAAGAGTGAGACGATTGTCATCCCCATGCATCTGTAACACGATGAACCACACATCGAAAGGTGAGCCGTACCATACGAAACCAAAAACACCCATGCAGCGACTACAACTACAAAAAACTCCTTACCCTTCTGCTTTGCTCATCTTGTCGATCACGAGCGAAGATTACACTCTCTTGAAGCTTCTCAATGTTCAGCTCCCTCTTGTCCAAAGCACTGTCTCTCATGTTGATCCACTCGTGATCCAAAGCTGCACCGGCGGATATTCTCTTGTTGGGGTTGACTGTGAGAAGCATACTGACCAAGTCCTTGGCGCCCTTGCTGATGTTGGACCAGAACTCGGGATAAAAGTTGTAGGTTCCATTCCTCGTTCGTTCAAAGACTTGATCTTCGGTTGTATCTTCATCATCGAATGGGAAGTAGCTACCCAGCAGCAAGAATAGGACACACCCAACACTCCAAATGTCACTGGGGCAGTCGTAGGCAGGATAGAGTTCCAGTATTTCGGGTGCCATGTATCCGGGTGTGCCACAAAGTGTTCGACAACAGTTGACACTGGCGCACCTCTTGGCAAATCCAAAGTCAGCCACCTTGATGATAAGACGTGCATCTTCATCGGAAACGAGAAGAAGGTTCTCTGGTTTCAAGTCACGGTGGGCAATTCTCCGTTCGTGCATATAGCATAGGGCTTCCAAGATGCATCTGGTACAATCTCTGGCATCTTTCTCGGTAAAGTCTGGCATGTCCATAATCCGATCAAAGAGTTCGCCTCCTCTCATGAATTCGAGTACGAGGTAGGAGAATTCGGCTTCTTCGTAAACATCGTAGAGTTGCATAATGCTAGGCCCTTCCCGAACATATTTGAGGTTGGCAATTTCATCTTCAAAAATGTTGTGTTTCTCCCATACCATTTTGCTGCGCGGTACTTGTTTGATGGCATAGTCTTGGCCGGACGATCGATGAATACCCAGAAATACTTTGGAAAAGTCACCATCCCCTAGCTGTAATGTAAAGTAAGTAAGCATGGCAAGCAAGTAAGATGTAACACAACGACGAGACAAGATGGGTTTGGGACGGAAGGCAGCAGCAACAGTCGGTTAGAAGACAAGGATGAGCACCCAGGTAGACAGACGTTCGTCTACAGTCTAGCTAGTAGCCAAGATCACTTGGCAGCAGTGCAGTATACCTGCACTGTATACCCCACTCCACTTGAACTCACCTTTCCGCTAATGTCATAATAATCCCTAAAGCGTACGTTCTTGATACGCCGTACTTGGCGATCCAACGACGGTGGCTCACCATCATCAATGGCTCCTTGCTTGTCGGAGCCCATGTCATCAAACTCGTCCTCACTGGAAGATGTATCATCAAACTCTTCACTACTAGAGCTGAATCCATCACCTAGGTCCTCACTGGAATCGGAAAAGGCAGAGCTTTCATCGGATGCAGTTTCCTCTTCCTGTTTGCTATGACGGCCTGATGACTTGCCGCTTCGGCCCTTGCTGCTGCCGTGGCCTCCTCCGTAATCATCATCACGTTGTTTCTGTTGTTGTCGGGTTGTTAAGTTGGGTAGTTAGGGGATCCATGGACAGATGGATGGTTCGGCCAATCAATCAGCCAGCCAGTTGACGCAGGGGATGAGAGTTGTCGTGTAAAAAGTTGGAATGTGATGGGTAGCAGTAGTCGATTGTTGAGTTGGTATATCAGATAGGTTCAGGGGGTATCAAGCAAGTCCAAGACAAAACAGCCGGTTCATCAGCGGATAGATAAGGGAAGATAAGATTAGAGAGAAGAAAGATAAGCAAACAGAGATGAGATACCCCTTCAACGTCCACTGCATCCATCAGTGCTGCCAACTAGGTAACATCACAAGACAAGGCCATGTTATTCAACGGCTGGACTAAACCTACCGACTTGTGGTGTCCTTTGTCGCTTCGTTTGCCATCACGGCCGCCCTTGGATGCCTTCTTCATGGTGACGGCAGCTTAATCCTTGCTTGATCTATGGCTGTATCTCGCACAATGAATGAGATGAGATGAGATGATACCCACTCTCTTTCACACCTAGACTTGAATGAACTAGATTGCCGACAGCAGTGGCAAGAAAGGTTGTTCCGTTCCTCGTCTTGATCGACTGAGTGATCGACTGACCGACCGACTGACTGACTGTGGGTGTTGTTGAGACGACAAAGAGCTAATCAGACAGTAGCGGTCCTCTAGCTAGTAGGGGTATCTATCTGTCTCTAGCTTTTTAGCTCTTGAAACGGAACAAAACGCACAGCCAAGTAGTAGGAGATAAGACGGATGCCTTCTTTCAGTCTTTTGGACGGACGATAGGATGGTCCTGCTGTCTGTTGGTTACAGACGTCTGTCTTGTACTCGACTCAATGATGAGATGCCTCCCAGATCCTCGACTTTTTTTGTGCAAGCGGGCCTGACAACAGGGTCATTGAGCTTGTTGAGTCCTCAGTCGAGTCACAACATGCCGCTCGATTTTGACAAAGCCTTTGCTCGCATCTCGTTGGCTAAACGGCACTGTCTCGGAGCTGCAGATCTAGCTACGGTACTGTACCACCAGTACCAGCCACAGTACCCGCAGGTAGCACATTGCCCTCTTCTTGCCTACGATAGCTCTTCTCAAGGAAAAAGATGGGAAATTGGGCCTTACCTACTGCGCAGTGGCGGTTTACCAACCCCACCTATACGGTAGCAAGGAAACTAATGGGTATACCGATACCCGTAATCATTCATTGATTTATTTTCTTGCTAAAAGACTAAGCTACGGTACCCAATGGGTTCGATTCACGCTAGTATATGTTTATCTTAGCGAATGCCATGGGCTCTATCTGCCTGCGATGAAATGGTTGTCTTCTGGAAAGCTGCTAGCCATAGATAGGCCAGAGTTGAGCTGGACGTCCTGCACTCACTTCCCTTGGCAACGCGAGTTTGACCTGAAGAGATTGGGAGCATCCAACAATTATTCAACATATTGCGGCTCTGCAGGTTAACTCGGAAGCCCCACCCTCCAACCGTTCCATCCAACGTCACAAGCCATCAACTCTCTATCGGCGCAAGAAAAACAAGATCTCCCCCTTCATTTTTTTCTCCGCCCAGCCAAGTTTTGTTTCCATGAACTCCTTGATAGCTCGCTTATCCATCTGTTCCTTCATGCTGCTGAGGAATGTGTCTATATTATCTGTCCCAGCTTCATCGTTCCTAACGAAATCGCTGACGCCATCGTCGCGAGGGTCCATTAAATCGATTTCGAGGCTCTATTCGGCGTCCACCTCCCGAAACAACAACAAAAAAGACAATAATATTCAAGTACCGTCGTGGGTGCCAGATTTTGACGACGACGATGGGGGATATTCCAGACCTGTGATTCAATGGTATCCTGGTCACATTGCCAAGGCCGAACGCGTTCTGAGAGAGACTTTTCAAGCGGTCGATGTCGTCGTAGAAGTCCGCGATGCCCGCGCTTCCAAGGCGACGTCCCATCCCAGGGTACCCGAGTGGGTCTCCGGAAAGCCCCGATTGGTCGTTTTTACACACGTCGACTTGGTGCCGTCGGCGACTCATAGGGCGTGGAAGACGTTTTTTCAAGAAAGTCAAGAAGTGGCTCTGGAAAATAATGCCGACAATAACAACAACAAATTGCAATATTTATGGGTGAATGCCAAACAAGGACAGGGCATTCCGGCCCTCCATCGTGCCATTTTTAAAGCAGGGGCCCATGTGCAAGAGAGGAGACAGCGTCGTGGACTCAAAGATCGTCCTCTGCGAGTGGGTTGTCTGGGGTATCCAAATGTAGGGTATGTTATTGGCTGAAAAATTTGCCATTCATGAAGTATTTCGGAGGCACAATCAACTCAACTCAATTAATTTGTATCCATGCTTATTTTATTTATTGCAGGAAATCCGCATTGATCAACCGCTTGTTGGGTCGAAGAAGGGCTCGAACCGCCAATACACCGGGTATCACGCGAAGCCTGCAATGGATTCGAGTCCGCACGGATGATAGCAAGAAAACCAACAAAAAAGAATATGAACTCCTGGATAGTCCCGGTATCATTCCCGCTAGCTTGGACGACCAATCCGATGCTCTGCTCTTGGCGGCTTGCAACTGTATTGGAGATGCGTCGTATGATAATCAGGTTCGTATCGTGTCGTTCTTTAGATTTGTTTGGTGCCTTTCTTGTCTCCATTCAAATCCCTCATTGTCAATCATTTCTTTTGTTCCCGCAGGTTGTGGCTGCCTATCTATGTCAGTGGATGCAGAATGTCATGATTCAAGGCAGGGCGGAGACGGCAGCACCGGATTGGAGAGACAACTGCCGAAAGCGATGGGGTGTGGACCCTCTGGCACCCGTTCCGATGGACAGCCAAGACCCTGATAAAGGATCACGGTACGTGACCGGCGAGGAAATGATTTACATGGTAGCGGATAACAAATGCAAAGGCAGCCCCGAAGATGCGTCTCGGAAAGTGCTGCAAGATTTCCGTAACGGACGCATGGGGTCGGTATGCCTGCAAGTGGCACCGGACGAATCGGTCACTGAAAACAGTCCCAGTGGCCCGATTCAGGATTTTTCCCAGGTCCCGGACCCTCGGATGGGTACCGTGCGAGTCGACAACCTAGGCTCCAACACGTCGTACGAACAATTTCGAGAACAGCAAGAGGCGCAGAAACGTGAACGTGCCATGGCCGCGCGAGAAACGGCAAAAGAACGTGGCTTGGAGCTACCACCTAGTTTGGAAGAGCCAGATGAGGAAAAGAGTACCGGTTCGTCACAGGGCGATGTGGGTAAAGGCTTGTTTGATGGCTGGTAGGGAGGTGTATGTACCGTGCTGCTTAGAAGCGAGGGAGTTCACTGCAGCAACAATCAACACCACCAGATATTTGGTTGCGGAAACCACCAAAGCTACACCAGAATGCCTTGGCATCACTAGCTAGGCCCTCGAGTGGAAATAGTGACACTCAGACGGATTGTTTGATTCATTCGAAAGTGAGCGAGACGATGGAGTTTGCTTTTTGCTTCGTCAAATCAGTTAGTGTATCTGAGTTAGTCGGTTGAGAAGGCAGTTTCTCCGATTATTAATTTTTTATGCTAGCCACAGCAATGTATTGAATATCAGGATCGTCCTGTGGAGGTAGATTGGATGGTTGTCGTGTGATGGACGCGAGTGCTTCCATAATCATTTTACTCGATCATCAAATGACCTCATTCTGAATAGCATAGTTTCGATGCGTGTCGTAGTCGACTCCAGGTGCATTCCAGCCTTTTTCCCGTAGACTTTTGGCAATATAGTTGACACGTTTGCCATTGACTCCATAGTCTAGGTATCCAACGCGACTACTGGATCTCACTTGTACGGCACGAGGACCTTTCCCATTCACAACTGCCAGCTCCAAATCATCAATGTACCCATTCTTGAGCGCTTCAAACTGCGTGTAAATGTACCCATTCTTGGACGTGACAATCTGAAAACCACCTCCATCGACATTGTCTTGGCCGGGCTGGTATGCCTGGATGACCTGTTCGAGCTGCTGGAAGGCTTTTTCCTGGTCGAGACTTTCGGGCCAAATCCAAGCAGGAATATAGTGATCCGGTTCGTCCTCGGGATCATCGGTCGAACAAAAGCAGTTGGGTGCAGGCCCGCAGTTTTTTAAACCCACGTATTCGTCTCCAATCATGTCTTTGCGAGGGCCAACACCCAAATCTTTGGGCTATGGTAGTATCGGAAAGTAGGTGAGAAGGTAAGTTTCATTAATAAGGGTGAAGTAGAAACAGCAATCAGAGCACACGGTACCTGAGGTCCTCGTCGTTTGGGTCTATCATCGTACTTTGTGGATATTTTGTTGGGGAATGCTTCTGCAGAGTCACCTCCAAATAGCAGGGCCGTGGACACCAAACCAATGCCAAACAAATCCCTTCGGTTCATTTCTGGCGGAGTCTTGACTGCCGACTTGGGCTTGGAACTGCTGAGACTGGTCGCAGCATGGAAAGTCGCCAACGGCAGGACCAAGAATAGGTTGCTCCTCCTCATGTTCGTCGATTCGATTCAATGGGCCATCGTCGTCTTCATCAGCATTGCAGGCATCATGGTCGCTCGGCTTGGGATGTCTGAATCATTGCCAAACTCCAAAATCTTTTGCTTTTGACAGCACTGACGTCAGTCACGAATAAGACAGCAATCAGATACAATTGTTAGACTAGCTACCGGTAGCGGTATCACCACCGCATTATTATTATTGGTATTTCTGGCCACTTCGGTTCGCGCTTATTACGCTCACGCTGCTGTCCCTGCTACCCTTTCTATCTATCTTATTCACGGCAAGGAGCCTGAGAGAGAGAGAGAGAGAGAGAGAGAGAGAGAGAGAGAGAGAGAGAGTGAGAGAGGCTGATGACAACATAGATAATGCTGTGAAATGCGCCGAACGAGAATTTCTGTGGAGCCAGAGTCAAGCCATGGCAGCGGCAACAAGAGGAGGCATGAAAAACCATTGGTTGAGATTCCACAAGAGCTCCAAGGAGAAGGCGGGCATCGTTACGGAAACTTTCACAACTATTACGAGTTTCATCCTACAATCGAGAGGTTGAAGCTTTTGGAGAGACCAGGTGGTATCTTGGACTATGTTTCCGCTCACTGGAGGGAGGAATCTTCCAACAAAGAATGCGCTCGGAATGATGCCAAGGTCGACGATACCCCTGCGGCCAAAGGCGATGCTACTACCGAAAAGAACGAATATTTACCTGCAAGAAAGAAATCCAAGCTGACACACAACGATACGAGTGGCAGTCCCTCTAATTCTGTGACGCGAAATGAATTCAGCTATCTGGATGTTGGATGCAACGAAGGGGATCTCACGTTGCAAGTTGCCAAAGCCTTGTCCCAGCGCCTTGCTACCAATTCTACACGGGAAACTACGGCGCAAAAGGACACCAAGAGCGTTACAATAAAGACTCATGGCTGGGACGTTGACCCAGTACTCATTGGCCGAGCCAAGCAAAAGCATGCACGTGAAGATGACATGTGCAATAATCCACAGTTTCACGTTGTCAATGTTTTAGATAATGACAACAACCATGTTGCGAATGCACAAGACAAAACATATGACTTGACGTCAATCTTTAGCACAACCATGTGGATCCATATTCACGGTGGCGACGAAGGACTTTGTCAGGTTCTAGGCCATCTTTGCCATAAGACAAGAAAGTATTTGTTAATTGAACCGCAACCTTCCAAATGGTACGATGCATACATCATTGTTGACTAACGAACTGTGCTTTTGGCTGCAGCAGCCAGCAGTGTATCTTACCTCGCTGACGAATGAAATTTTATCTGTACTTTCTTGTCTTGTCAATGCGTCCTGTCAATCTAGCTACCGAAGTGCCATGGTCCGACTGAGAAAGATGGGGCTACCGGAGTTTGACGTGTCGGCGGATCGCTTACGACTTCGTCCAAGGATCGAAGCGGAGATTGACCGCATTTTGAATCAGCATTCCTTCTCCCGAGTGGTGGATTTGGGGGCGAATATCAATCCAGACGAAAGCAAGACAGTTTGGAAGCGATCGATCTGGTTGTACCAGCGAACGAATGGGCCAAGCGCAGGCGAACAATTGAAAGCTGGAGACAACGATGAGGATGAGAAAAGCACCCACCAGCTCTCACCCTCAAAACCTGACAGTGGCTAGAGTCATTTTGAGCAACCCACTTCCCAGTTAGCTTTGAGGCCATCTACAGCTTTTTAATGATCTACGCATGTACGACGAAGTTGAAACTAAATCGCATTACTACATGTACCATCGCAGCGAACCTTGGGATCTCGTTGCTTCAACTACAAAGCACAAGCGCAAAGATAATGGGGCAAAGATAAGGGAGGCTTGAAACAAACCCGACGAAAGATTGCAAAAGATGACATGATCAATGCCTCGGTTGCTGCCTTGGCGTCTGCCTCTTCCAACGACGATTTTCCTGCTGCTTCTTGGAGGTCAAAATGTTGCTGGCGTAGCTGCCATTTATTTCCTCCTTGCAGATCAAGTCGTTATCATAGTCTTGCGGTAGCGCTAAGGCCAAGATGCTCGATATCAGGTGCAAGAGCAGCCCCCTGCTGCCCCGGCTGGCGGATTGCAAGTGGACCGGCCCAACAGAACCAAACGAACTCCGAGGAAACACTTTGAGAACATTGAGAAAGATCCCCAAACTCAACAAGCTGCTTCACTTTCCGGATCTCATCATGGCTGACAGCAATGCCAGTATCCAGTCTGCCGCAGCCCAAGCAACACTCCCAGACGCAGTTCACCGTGCTTCAACTGTACGTGCCGCAGTTTCCACAACCATTGAGAACCATTTCTTGTAGCGGCACGGATTGTCGGCGTCACGTTGGGAAGCTTGCGTATAGCAATTGTTGGTCGACGTAAGAAGAGAAAATGCTGAGCAGACACCATCTTATTAAAGAGAGTCCATATCATCCAAGATTGCCTGTAGATCACTCGCAGACAAGTCATCGTCGTCATTGTCGACTGTTTCTTCGGCATCTTCCGCCAAGTTATCTTCTTCTTCTTCATCAGTTCCTCCCTCCACCAAATCGTAGACATCCACTTTGTTTCCTTCATCGTCGCGAGGATACGGCGGATTCAGCCAGAACGATCCTGGAGTAGCGACATCTTCCAAATACAGATTGTAGTAATCGTCAATGATGGCATCGGCAAAATCGTTGTCCTGCAAACATAAAACTCGCATTCCCACAGCCCGAGCCGCCCGACAAACGTCCAAGTCGCCACAAAAGACAACCACGTGCTTGGGCAGCGGGGATCGCTCTGGGTCGGCCATTTTTCTACCAAAGCCAGACGAACCACCAAATCCTTCCGGTTGAACGGTAATGGCGTGGGTGGATTCCCACAGAGACTGTGGTGCCGAAGCAGAAGATGCCGGATGGACGCGCAAGTACTCTTTGACTTGATCTGGAGGGTAATCGACACCAGCCAATCGCTCCTCGGACGCAATCAGTAGTGCCGGAGTGCCCACATCGCGACATTCTTGCAGGATATCCAGCAGGCCACTTTTGGGAGTCACTCCATCGTCCTCCAGCAAAATGGAGGGTTCTTCCATGGCGGGATTGTCGTAAAAGATGAGAGCTTCGGGAAAATCAATGTTGCGCACCATGGACAGAGCTTGGCATCTTTCTGATACCACTGGATGATGAGGAGCAAATGCCAGAACAGGAGACCGCAACAGCCATCCCAACAGCGAAATGAACGGCCATATAGTGTTGTTGGAGGGCATCATGGTGTGCTGTTTGTGCCGTTTGTGGGAATATTGAGCCTTTCCAACTCGTCAAAGCAAGCTCAAAGGTTGCGAAGCGGACTGGTGACGTCAGTGAGGTCGCATATTTCCTCATTGTGAGACCCAGGTTGCAAGCCGGCTTAGAGCTGTGTATAAAAATTGCTGCCACAACAGGATTATCGCGAAAGATCGTAAGATCGCGAGAACACAAACAACCAAGAACTTCTGCCCTGCCTGAGATTGGAGTGTGAATGGGAGGATCATAATGTCGGGATGGAGGGTTTACACAAACGCCACGTCAAAAATCCAGCAAACTCAACAGAGAGACCCAAATAGATAGCAATGACAGTGGTCCATACCGGTAGCCATATTTACGGAACATTCATTGTGAATGCGCGTGCCCGGCAACTCCTGGAACAAAAGGGCGACGAGGAAGAGCATGTTGTGGACGATCGCGACAAGCAACTAATGGATCTTATGGACAACGATGACGACGATTCAGATGAGTATTACGTGGCGTGTGACCGTGACATGCGGCTTCTAGCTGAATTGGGCAACCCTGACAATGAGAATGAGTTTGTCAACGATGATGAAGATTCGGATGAGTACTACGTGGCGTGCGACCGTGACATGAAGCTTCTGGCTGAACTAGGCAACGCTGATGAAGATGATGAAGATTTGGATAAGTATGTTCCGAACAACGAAGACCAGTTCATTTTGGATAGGTTGTGTGATGAAGAGGATCCAAAGTTTGACGGCTTGTTGGCACATGGCTGGCACTTGCGCGAGATTGTGGGATTGAGTGACGAGGCTCTGACTTTTCTGCTAAATCTCCCAGTAAATCCTCCCACTTTACGGAAACTCATAGATGAATTGGCTTTCTTGCCTGAAAAGAATGATCCAGACACTCCAACACATCTGATTTCTGATTCGACTCAATTGGGGACGGGCAACATGGACCGAAACCAGATTGCACTCTGCCAAACACCGGCGAGAAACTGCACTAATTGCGGACAATATTATGATGGTTACGATTTACCCATGAATAAATGTTCATTTGTGGGAGAATGGCTGTCCAATGGACTTGTGTTGAAGCGTTGAACATGCCGCCAGTGACTTCAACACAAGATTGCTGCGGGAGGTGGTCATTTGTGGGAGAATGGTTGCCCATGGGATGAAGAGACTTATGTTGAAGCTGCCGCCAGTGGCTGTTTGGGTGTTTTGAAATGGGATCGTGACAATGGCTGTCCGTGGGATGCCAGGGTTCGCTCAGCCACAGATAAAACGATAACGACAACATGGTTCATTGGGCTCGGGATAATGGCTTCCAAGAGATTGATTAGATTTCTGTTCAGCGATGCAGCAGATTTTGTAGATTAGTTTAGGGAACTACGGTACAAACACCCCCATGGACTCATATCTTTCCTTCCACCATTACATGTGCAAAGACCATTACGAAGATCAGATGCAAACTTCCACTCGCTGCTGCCAGTTCTAGTGGTGACCATCCATCCTTTGTCCGATCACGGAAAACGTTCGTGCCGCTTTGAAGGATCATTTTTTGCGTGACACGAGCGGGAGAGGCTCCTTTCTGAAGAAGCAACGCAAACAGTTTCCATCGTCCATCTTGAACGGCGTAACTCAAAGGAAACCCCTCTCTACGACCGCGTTTGTGCCGGTTGACACTGGCGCCCTGTTGAACCAGAAATCTTGCCAGTGGATAGTGCTGGTGACAAAGAGCCGCGATAAGGGGCGTGTTCTTGTCTGCATCGAACGTGTCGACGGTGGCGCCCCTTGTCACAAGCTCCCGTGCTAGTTCGGTCCACTGGTCTCGAGCCTCGTCTTCGGTAGAGACGGCCAGCTGAACCATCGTGCTCAAGCAAGAGCTCAATTTCTTCGTACAGCGACCCAGTTTCCCCATGGAGGAAGCCGCAATGATGTTTTGCTCCGTTCGACCAACCAGAAACTTGGCCGTGTCGCAGGAGCCAAACAGAATAGCAATGGAAAGAGGAGACATTCCACCGCAAGTTCGCCGGTAGACATTGGCTCCCCTTTCCACCAAGAGTCGGACAGTGCTGAGTGCACGGGGTCCAGTGCTCTTGGCCGCCAAGCAAAGCGGGGTCCATCCTGCTTCATTGACTGGGTCCCAAGAGCACCCGTAACAGGACCGATTTGCGATTCGTGGTAACGCAGCGATTGTGTCATGATCTCCCACCCGGGCAGCCCAGAATAGAGCACGATTGATCTCGAAATCAGTTTGCCGGCTGGGCGGGGAGTTCGGTGTTGGTTTGGGGTGTGGGTATGAGGAAACAGGCATGATGATGATGAAGTAAATGAACGATTTGATTCGATTCTGCTTCGACTCTACCTCACACTCGATCAAAAATCATTGTGATCGTCCCATCTCTTGCTTGCCACAAGTGAACGGAACGTTTGGAAGCTGCACTTCTTGAGACGTGGGAGTGCCATGGCGCTTAGCCCTACCCTTAAAACCCATCTTTGGTCTTAGTCAGAGTAGTAGTAGGTGTACTACGGTACTACGGTACTAGCTAGTAGTACGGTACCACACTGCTCCGGTACCAGTACACACTGTGGTACCAGTACAGTAACCAGGTAGCACTACTACTAGCTAGTAGTTGGCTACGGAGTTGAGCTCCGATTTTGTGCGTCTGAAGGGCAAGAAAGCAGGCTTTGATCGGCTCTCCAGATCGCCCCGCTGCAGTGTAGCCACGTGCCTGCAGTTCTGTTTCAAATTGGGATGTTTGGTTGCCAGTGACTAAACACGAACTGAGAGTTATCTTTCCTTCCAGCCACGGCTGCAGCCTGGTAACACCGCTGGTAGCTTCCAGTACCTGATTGGTCCTTCGGTTTGGTGTGCATAGCTGTCAAATGCTCCGTACGCCTTCGGTGGAGACTTGGTGCAGTCGTATCATCATGGGTCGTCTTCCGTCTTGCAACCCGGACATCCAACAGCACTAGAAAGTTGAGCTCTCATTGTAAATATTGGCTGCTTCTTCGTTGACATCGACGCCCTCCTCTTCAGGATCCCCACATCTACAACTGACCCCATGAAATCGAGGTTTGCTCTTACCAGCTTGGAAAGATCTAGAAAGGAAGGAGTTGACATGTCTTCAATCCTAAAGGAGATGCTTGTCCCCAGATCGAACTTGGACACTGGCTTGGTATCCATTGGAAATGAGTTGGAGATCGGCCTGGCCAACAGGGCTGCGTTGCGGAAGAGGAGGAAGTTGTTGCCGTGACGAAATAAATGAACAATCAAACCGGGCAGTCACGTAATATACATGTATTTACTTTACTTCTTTCCTATTCTTCCAATAGATATCTGCCGGTTTGAAGGTACGGAACTCCTCCTCGCGTCCCAGAATGCTGGGGGCATATCGTAGCGTCAAGTTCATGCGATCTGGCAACAATTTCGGGTAAGGGCTGGATGAATCTCTGCAGATCTTGACAGAATGGTATATCATGCGGGCAGGCCCACCAAAGAGAATCACATCACCTGGGTCCAGGTGAACATCCGTCTTTTCCTCTTCCTTGCTCATTCGCACCCGATATACCACAGACTTGCCAAAGTTAAACGACACAATAGGTGCATCTCCTTCACCATCATTGGCTCCAACGTCGCGGTGCTCCTTAATTCCTCGGTTTGTAGAGTAGTACAGCAACAGTGCGTGGTCTGGAACCATGGCAGGCATGGCTGGGTCAGCCGCTCGGGCCAATCGCACAGCCTTGGCGCAGTGCTCCAGTATCCAGTCCGTTGCTTCGTCTCCATAAAAGGCAAGCTCTCGGTAGATGCGTCCTCGCGTCAGCGTGGAGTTCAATTTGCGGTTGCCATCGGCATCTGTTTCATAGAATCCATCCGTGGGGTGGTTGCCGATCTCCAAGAACTTGGCCACGATTGCTTCTTCGCTAGCGCGAGAGCTGATGCGTCTGACCACAACCAACCCTGGACGCAGCATCTCAACGGCAGGTTCTCTGGTCTCTTCTCGTGTTTCTGTGGTATTCATCGTGCTTGACTCTCCTTCTCTGGCTGCGACTTCCACCTTGGTTTTCTTGGCTATTTCTCTCATGTTTGCTTTTTTTAGTCTCTTCCACGCTTTCTTCGACACACCCTCGGGCCTCTCCTCCACTGGGCTCGAGTAGTCCATCGCGCTCGTCGTTTTCTCAGTGTCATCCATAGTTTATTGGGTACCAGTAGTGGTGTTTCTTATTATGATGCATCACGTGTTGCCTCTTGTTCACTTGTTCGTTCAACCAAACCCTTGCGTCCCTTGACACTTGACAAACAAGAAAATGGCGCGTTTGGAAGCGAACTCTCTTGGGACGTGGGAGTGAAATGAACAAAGTAGCCTTACCCTTATACGAGTATCTTTACTGAGTGACTGAGTCACTCAGGATCCTTCTGTCGGCAGTCGGCAGTGATGATGCAGACAGGCACTCCTGCAAAGATCGAAGCCCCACTAGCTAGCTACTAGACGAGGGCTTGACGTTCTCGCTGCAGTTAGTTGTAGACACTGTTCCAGCTTTGGCTGCAACGTGGCTTGCTTTGCTTGATAACCATGGCGTTTCTACGTCTCTCTGTTATCGCTCTCCCCTTGGTTCTCGTTCTTATTATCAGCTGCATGCACACCACTCGAGCGTTTGCTCTGTTGGGTCGTCGGTTCGTAGCGAAACCACAGCCACGACGATTCCTCTGGGGTGCTCTTGCTTCTTCCTCCATGGCTCTTCGCAGTGTGGCAACGTCCACCAGAGGCGGTAGCATGGACGATGCCGTGTGCGCAGCCAACAACAATCCATTGCTCCAGAGTTGGGCATCCCAGCCTCTGCGACTCCCTCCCTTTGCCGAAATCCAAACACACCACTTCAAGCCAGCATTGGAAGAAGGGATGAAACTCGAGTTGCAAGATGTGCAGAATATTGTAGACAATCCAGATCCTCCCACCTTTGAAAATGTCATTGCTGCCTTTGATCGAGCGGGATCGGTATATGACAAGGTTTCCAGTGTTTATGGAAACTATTGCGGTTCCTTGATCACCGAAGATTTGCAAGAGGTTCAGACGGAAATGTCTCCCATAATGAGTCGTCATGCGAGTCAATGCACCACACTGCCAGGTCTCTTTGAAAAAATTGATGCGGTATACCAGCAACGACACGACATGAAGCTCAATAGTGAACAACTGCGGTTGGTAGAACGCGTGCATTTGGACTTTGTGCGAGCTGGAGCCACCCTGAGTGAAGCTGATAAACAAGAATATGCAGACCTCAACGCAGAATTGGCTTCTCTGACGACTCAGTTCACACAAAATATTTTAAAGGATGAGGAGTCTTATGAGATGGTACTCAAGTTGGAAGATATGGAAGGATGTCCCGATGGTCTTATTCAATCGGCCCGACAAGCTGCCATGGAACGCAACAAGGCGGAGGATGAATACGTCGTCACATTGGGACGTTCCCTGGTGGAACCCTTCTTGACTTATAGTGCGAGGAGAGATTTGCGCAAACAAGCTTTTGAAGCATGGACAAAACGCGGTGAATTGGATCCAGAGCGCGATAATCCGGGCATTGCCATCAAAATTCTGCGTCTCCGCAAACGCATGGCCGAGATTCACGGCTACAAGTCGTTTGCCGAGTATCAATGCGTGGATCGCATGGCCAAAACGCCCGAAAAGGTCATGGAATTGCTCACCAATGTGTGGGATCTGGCCAAACAATCCGCCAAGCGGGAACGAGAAGACTTGGAGCAGTTTGTCCAGTCGAGTGGAGAGACATTGGAAGGTGGTGTGCAAGGATGGGATTGGAGATATTATGCCGAAAAGGTGCGACAAGACAAGTACGATTTTGATGAATCGCTGTTGAAGCCATATCTCTCCTTGGAGAAGGTTACCGAGGCGCTCTTTGCTGTGTCCGGCAAATTGTATGGTCTCAAGTACTTCCCCAGAGACGATATTCAAGCTTACCATCCAGATGTCAAGGTGTACGAAGTCCGAGAGGACCAAGAGGACGGAACGGAAAAATTGACAGCTGTCTTTATTCACGACAATTTTGCGAGGAAGGGCAAAAACGGTGGGGCTTGGATGAGTGAATACCGATCTCAAACTCGCAATTTGGTTCCTTCTGACGAAAAGGATGCCTACTTGGAAGGTATCCCCATTGTCTCCAACAACAACAACTTTGCCAAGGGAGAGAACACACTCTTATCCTATGATGATGCCACTACTTGCTTCCATGAAGCTGGTCATGGACACCACGGGATGTTGTCCAATGCAACCTACAGCCGTTTGGCCTCGACCAATGTTGTGACGGACTTTGTAGAGCTTCCATCCCAACTAATGGAGAGTTGGTTTGACTCGCGAGAAGTCCTGCAAAAGTACGCGCGGCACTACGAAACGGGAGAATCAGTCCCAGACGATCTCGTGGACAAGCTAATGAACGCTCGCATGTTCAATCAGGGTTTCGCAACGATTGAGTACACTGCCTGTGCTCTGTTTGACATGCTAGTCCATCAACTCGAGGATTATCCGGACGACTTTGACCTGTCTGCTTTTGAAAAGTCTGAATTGGAGAAATTGGGAATGCCCCAAGGAATCGTAATGCGCCATCGACCACCGCATTTCATGCATCTGTTCAGCACGAACATGTACGCGGCAGGTTATTACGTTTACCTCTGGGCAGAGGTGCTGGATGCCGACGCCTTTGCGGCATTTAAAGAAGCAGGAAACATTTTTGATGAGGAAACAGCTGCCAAAGCTCGCAAGTACATTTACTCGGCTGGAAACACCGTTGCACCGGATGAGCTATTCCGTCTCTTTCGGGGCCGAGATCCTGATATCAAATTCATGCTGGAGAAGAGAGGACTGATTGCGAAAGAGTAGATCATAAGCAGCCTTTAGTGTGCCAAGTCGACTTTGTCATATCTCGTCGCTGGCTGTCCGTAGTGGCGGGAACAAACGCTGCCATTGGTTGGTGGCATTGGGATCTACCGGTTGCGGTGCCCGTACGGTACAGTACGGGGACCCCACCACGTTCCTTACATGTAGCGACTAGCTAGTCGAAGGCGCTTGAAGATGCTTGAGACCACACGGTGCGCTGGTACGGTGCGCTGGTGCAGTGGCTTCACATTCACAGCAGCTCTAGCTAGCTAGCTATTATGCATGATGTTGTCTCCTAAGCAACTCCATCAGAAACTTAGATAGACATGCACTACCACAATGCTTGCTACCGAACGGTACCCCCACCGCAACTATTGCTACTACAGTTGCATCCACAGAGCTCTAAGCAGTCAAACTGCAAAAGATCAACCTCACACATGCCATATGGGATCTCCCCAGTCAATAGGTTTCCGTCCACAGCAAACTCTTTCAGAGTAAGGTTTGCCATTGCAGCAGGGATGGACCCCTCAAAATGGTTATTGCTGAGCCATAGGTTCTTCATTCCTTCCAACAGACCAAACTCTATAAATGATAGTGAGGGGATGGGAGCGGGTAGTTGAAACAGGTGTAAGGATTGAAACCAGGCAACACAGGCAAGAATGCACCAAAGCAAGATACGAACCTGTCGGAAGGGTTCCGGTCAGCGCGTTCCCGGTCACATTGAAATCAAATAGGAGCGGCAAGTTCTGCAGCTTGGTTGGCAGTGTGCCGTTCAACTGGTTGTCTGACAGCTGAACCAGCATAATACGCGGGAAGGGTTCGATTGGAGGCACTGTGCCTGTCAACTGGTTCTCATGGAGAACAAAGGCCTTCAAGTCTGACAAATCCGCAATTTCTGCAGGAGCGGCGGTGAGCACCCAGAAGGAATCGAATCGAGCTTGAGGACTTGCGCACAGGGTGTTTTGTCTTACCAGAAGGGATAGAACCAACCAACGAGTTCTTGGCGAGGCCAACAATTGATGCATGCGTGAGGAGAAACATCTCTGGAGGTAACGAGCCTTGAAGGTTGTTGTCTTCCAAGAATAGGTCTTCACGGATGAATTCCATGATTCCAGGCGTTCCATAGCAAGGGTCTTTCCACGTCGAGAACCACTTGCAGTCATTCAAGCTGTGGTTGAGCCAGCCTTCATTCTCAAACCAGTCATCTCCACCTGTCGCATAGTAAAATGTTGCTAACGCAAATCTTTGCAGAACTCGCTGATCCGTATGATTCCAGTGCGGAATGTCGTTCAGCAGCCATTGAGCAGCCCGCGCTTGAGGTGAACCAGGTTTCGACCGTATAGCTTCAATTGTCTTGTTTGGTAGCAAGGCCATAACATATGCTTCAATTTCATTGGACGTGGTATTGTGTGAAGTAAAAGCATGGCCAGTGTTGCCGTCGTGGGCCTCCTGTTGATCGACCTTCTCGTCCAAACCAAGCAGATAAACAATCAACAGAACGAATCCTGCGAAAATAAGGGCTCCAAGGCTGATACAGATTGTTGCTTTGATCAAATGAGTCTTCCTTTTTCGTTCTGTTCTCATTCTCGCCTGCTCGTCTAGATTGTATTCCTCTGCTGTTGGCAATGACTGGGCTTGCCGCTCATGGTTTTCATCCACCGGTATGGCAACAGAGAGCCGAGCTGCTACACTTGTATGGGGTGTGACTGCTAATTCTTCATCTGATTCGCTCTCATCGTCCTGGTTCTCCTCTATGGTGGATTGATCTGGTGGAGGAGCGACAGCATACGCTCCAACCATGGGCTCCTGGTATGTGGCAGCAAGAACGGCTTGAAGCTGTTCTTCCCCGTTTGACTCCAAGGCAGCTTCATTCGTATTCTCTATGGCGTTGGTGCCCATATCAAGATTCACAGTTTGTGGCTTGGAGAGCTGATCCTTATCCTTTGGAGGGAGTTTGGAAGGGGAATTCATGTCTGTGTTTGCACTGGTTTGGGGGTCTTTTATACACGGAGTTGGATCTTCAACATCTGTTGATCCCTGATAGGAAGTTTCAGAAGCTTTGGTCTTAGTTGCGCCATTGGAAGTTGCTTCAGGCTGGCAGCGCAAAGCCAAAATCTTCATCAGGTCAAGCTCATCAGGCTCCGATTCTTCATCTGGCTCTCTTTTGGGTGGCTGATTCTCCATGATCTTGCACTTGTTTCAACTCAGAGACTTGCTGTCTATTGGCAAATAAATGCACACATAAAGAGACAACTAGCGTACAGTGCTAGCCAGGTTACTAGACTAGCTCTACTAGCTAGCTGGTGCTACAACATGTACCCGGTACTGGTATCAGTGAGCTCCAGGCTCAGAAGATTCGATTCGATTCGATTCGATTCGATTCGATTCAATAATGTGAGCAGTGAGCAGGGGGGCTGTGCGAACGAGGGGAGGATCCTGAAGGTTCTTTGTCGGTGACTTAAATGATCCAAAAGGTTCTTTGTCGGTTGTCGGCTGGCTGTCGCTTTGCTCTGGCCACTGGCCAAGTGGCCACTGGCTACACTGTAGCTAGAGACAGAGACTAATAAAAAAATAGGGTACTGGGTACCGGTTCTGGCCACTTGTAGCTGGCAACCACCGAGGGCGGAAGGTGATTTCTTCTTAATTTTAATTAAAGCGAGTGTGGAGGCAATAAATCCTCTTTATCTTCAGAAGCTCTTCAGAAAATAAGCACGCTTCCTCCTTCAGCCCCAAAGAACCCGAGAATCGAAGCAATGTCGTAGGGTGTACTAAGTACTGAGTACTGAGTACCGGACTTTTAATAGTAAACCTTTCCTTTACAATTTACAACACACCCTTTCTCAACCACTAATAAGCCACGTATGTACATGTATCAGTACGCATGTCTACTGCTTCCTGCTTCTTTTTTTTTTGGTTAATTTGCCTCACTCGGAGCCAGCGGTTTTCATTGGTTGGCCTGCAAACTGCCGTGCTTCTGAGCCAGAGCCATCGATGGACAGAATGTCTGCCCGAAGCACCACAGTTGCAGCGTTCTACCTGCATGCTACCTGCATGCTACATTTAGTTGTCTCTTTGTGTGTGCATTCGCCAACTCCCACTAATGGTACCGGTAGGTAGCAAGTCTCTGAGTTGAAACAAGTGAAAGACCATGGAGAGTCAGCCACCGAAAAGAGAGCGAGATGAAGAATCGGAGCCTGATGAGCTTGACCTGTTGAAGATTGTGGCTTTGCGCTGCCAGCCCGAAGCAACTTCCAATGGTGCAACTAAGACTGAAGCTTGTGTGTCTTCCTATCAGGGATCAACAGATGCTGAAGATCCAGGTCCGTGTAGAAAAGGTACCCAAACCGGCGCCAGCACAGACACAAACCCCCCTTTCAAACACACTCCAGAGAACAAAAATCAGCCCTCTGTGCCACAAACAGCAAATGTTGGTATGGGCACCAATGCCAAAGAGAACATGGCCAATGAAGCAGCATCACAATCAAATGGGGACACCAAACCCGGTGCAAAAGCAGACATGAATTCCCCTTCTAAACCACCTCCGAAGGATAAGAATCAGCTCTCCGAGCCACAAACAGCAAACATCGATATGGGCACCAAAGAGAATTCGGCCAATGAAGCTTCCTTGGAATCAAACGGGGAGGAACAGTTTCCAGCGAATTGTTCCCCCACGTACCGGTATCAGGAGCCAATGGTTGGAGCGTATGCTGTCGCTCCTCCACCAGATCAATCCACCATAGAGGAGAACCAGGACGATGAGAGCGAATCAGATGAAGAATCAGCAGTCACACCCCATACAAGTGCAGCAGCTCGGCTCGCTGTTGCCATACCGGTGGATGAAAACCATGAGCGGCAAGCCCAGTCATTGCCAAAAGCAGAGGAATACAATCTAGACGAGCAGGCGAGAATGAGAACGGAACGAAAAAGGAAGACTCATTTGATCAAAGCAACAATCTGTATCAGCCTTGGAGCCCTTATTCTCGCTGGATTCGTTCTGCTGATTGTCTATCTGCTTGGTTTGGACGAGAAGGTCGATCAACAGGAGGCCCACGACGGCAACACTAGCCATGCTTTTACTTCACACAATACCACGTCCAATGAAATTGAAGCATATGTTATGGCCTTGC